GCATCATTGATGGGCACTGAAAGGCAGCACTCATATGGCACTGATAGGCGGCACTGACTGGTACTGATGGGTGACACTGAAAGGCAACTCAGATGGGCACTGATATGTGGCACTGGCAGGTGGCATGGATGAGCACTGATGGACACTGACAGGTGGTGCTGCTGGGGCTACACAGATCATCAGTGCCCTGATGATCAGTGTACATGTCCCCTCCGAGGAATGCAGATTACCTGCTCTTCTCTCATGAGCTGTCAGCGTGACAGCTTGTGAGGAGAGAAATGCCGATAACCGGCATTTCCCTGTTTACATGTGAACAGCTGTGATTGGACACAGCTGATCACATGACCCAGCCAACATCTTTGGCTCTTTCCGTTGATCGGTGATCCGCTGTGTCCAAGGGACACAGCCCACCGCCGATCGCCGCACACTCCCGGAGCCGCGCATGTGCGGTTAGAATGGGAAGACGTCATATGACATCCTCCAAGAACGAGAGAACCACCTTGCATCCGTCATTTTACTATATGGCAGGTGGGAGGTGGTTAAGGTGTGATCCCTTGGTATGAACTTACAGCTTTATGAGGCCACTGTGGGAAGCTCCCCACCCTCATGAAAGGCTGTCTTTCATGCAGAAAATGTCACCAACCTTGGCAAACAATGGGCCAATTCAATAAAAGAATTTTATTGTGACTATCCTTTCGTGTAGGTCACCCAGACATGGGTACATTATTACCATTGCCTCTTAACTGTTGATTAATGTCTTCTCAAGAAATACGATACATCTAAATATTTCACTACTAGCAGATGTTTATCACCATTTTTTTCCCGCTATTTTTTTTTTTACAATACAGTTATAGGACCGATTTGCCAGTACATCTGTACTTTATTTTCTAGTTTTGACCACAATATGAAGACAATTCTAACTGTACACATACAACACAGAACAAAGAATGGAGCAGTGCAGGGAAGAAGAGAGACAGCATATTACAGTTTACACAGTCAGGTAGTGTGATATACAAGTATAAAATGTACCTGAATTAGTGTGACTGGGTTGCAAAGTAAAAATGTTGTGTTTAAATTATATGGGGGTTGCAGAGAAATACAGTACAGTATTTTGAATGGGAGGTGCACTGTAATGCATTAATTTACTGTCATGGGAGGTGCATAGTAAAATGATATGGCAGCAATGGGGAGGAGACTCTGGACAGTCTATCTACAAATATTGCAATATGAATTATCAACTACCCTTCGGTGTCCAACTTCAATCTCCTCACGTCTCACAAACCTAAGCGGCATAAATCAGCATGGATGTCACACTACTTCCTTAAACTCAATCTTTCCAAAACCGAGTTTGTAATATATTTCCTCCTCCCTGATCCCCCACTCATAACTTTACCATTAAGATCAGCAGCACAACCATTGGTCCTTCCCTTCATGCCAAGGTGCTAATCCTAGACTCTGACCTCTGCTTTGGGCCCCACATCCAATCACTGGCTAAACACTGCTGCCTCAACCTCCGGAACATTTCCAAAATCTGCCCCTTCCTGACCAATGACACCACAAAACAACTTATCCACGGCTTGGTTTTATTCCGCCTTGATTACTGCAACTCCCTCCTCACTGGTCTACTGTTACACAGGCTATCCCCCCTTCAGTCTATTATAAATGCTGCTGCTAGACTCATACACCTTACCAACTGATCAGTGACTGCTGCCCCTCTCTGCCAATCTCTTCATTGGCTTCCACTAACCAAACATATAAAACTCAAAATACTAACCACAGCATACAAAGCCATCCACAACACTGCCCCTAGCTACATTACTAACCTTTTCCGCAGATATCTTCCAAATCACCTACTGTGCTCCTCCCAAGACACCTTGCTCTCTAGCTCCCATGCTCGCCTCTAGGACTTCTCCAGAGCCTCTCCCATCCTCTGAAACTCCCTACCGCAGCATGTCCGGTCAGCCCAGTCTGCCTTTAGGTGATCCTTGAAAACTCACATATTCAGGGAAGTCTACCCCACCTCCACCTAAGAACTGTACTTGAGCCACCTCCATCAGAACATTGCCTACAGCTATCACATTTTGTACCAGCTCCCCCTTCCTATAGATTGTAAGCTCCACGAGAAGGGCCCTCCTATTCCTTCTGTACTGAAATGTATTGTAATTGTACTGTCTCTCTCATATTGTAAAGCGTTGCCCCAAACTGTTGGCGCTATATACATCCAATAATATGTTACAACAGGATTACAGCTTGCACAGTGTGCTATGGCTGTGTACTGAAATGGACTATAAGAAAAATAGCCACCCATGGAAAAAACCATAGCATTCTCTTCCTGTAGCCAGTCTCCTCAAAAGGCATATCAGGTTCTATAATATACAGTGAAGAAAATAAGTATTTGATCCCCTGCTGATTTTGAATGTTTGCCCACTCACAAAGAAATGATCAGTCGAAAAATCGAATGGTAGGTGTATTGTAACACTGAGACAGAATAGCAACAAAAAATTCAAAAGAAATGCATGTCTAACAAATGATGCACTGATTTGCATGTTCATGAGGGAAATAAGTATTTGTTCCCCTTCACAAAACATGACTTAGTACTTGGTGGCAAATCCTTTGTTGGCAATCACAGAGGTCAGACGTTTCCTGTAGTTTGCCACCAGGTTTGCCCTCATATCAGGAGGGATTTTGCCCACTCTTCTTGGCAGATCCAAGTAATTAAGGTTTGGTGGCTGATGTTTGGCAACTCAAACTTTCAGCTCCCTCCACAGATTTTCAATCGGATTAAGGTCTGGAGACTGGCTAGGCCACTCCAGGACCTTAATGTGCTTCTTCTTGAGCCACTCTTATGTTGCCTTGGCTGTGTGTTTTGGGTCATTGTCATGCTGTAACACCCATCCACGACCCATTTTCAATGCCCTGGCTGAGGGTAGATGGTTCTCACCCAAGTTTGACGGTACGTTGCCCCGTCCATCGTCCCTATGATGCGGTGCAGTTGTCTTGTCCCCTTAGCAGAAAAACATCCCCAAAGCAGAAGGTTTCTACCACCATGTTTGACAGTTGGGATGGTGTTCTTGGGGTCATAGGCAGCATTCCTCCTCCTCCAAACACGGCGAGTTGAGTTGATGCCAAAGAGCTCGATTTTGGTTTCATCTTACCACAACACTTTCAAAACAGTCCTCCTCTTCATCATTCAGATGTTTAGTGGCAAACTTCAGATGGGCCTGGACATGTGCTTTCTTGAGCAGAGGGACCTTGCGGGCTCTTCAGGATTTCAATCCTTGTCGACGTAGTGTGTTACCAATTGTTTTCTTGGTGACTGTGGTCCCAGCTGCCTGGAGATCATTGACAAGATCCTCACATGCAGTTTTTGGATGATTCCTCACTGTTCTCATGATCATTGACACTCCACGAGGTGAGATTTTGCATGATTCACCAGACCTAGGGAGACTGACAGTTGTTTTGTGTTTCTTCCATTTGCGAATAATTGCACCAACTGTTGTAACCTTCTCACCAAGCTGCTTGGCGATAGTTTGGTAGCCCAGTCCAGCCTTGTGTAGGTCTACAATCTTGTCCCTGACATCCTTGGACAGCCCTTTGGTCTTTGCCATGGTGGAGAGTTTGGAATCTGATCGTTTGATTGCTCCTGTGGACAGGTGTCTTTTATACAGTTAACAAAATGAGATTAGCAGCACTCCCTTTAAGAGACTGCTTCTAATCTCAGCTTGTTACCTGTATGAAAGACACCTGGTAGCCAGAAATCCTGCTGAATGATAGGAGATCAAATACTTATTTCCCTCATGAACAGGCAAATCAGTGCATAATTTGTTAGACATGAATTTCTTTTGAATTTTTGTTGTTACTATTCTGTCTCTCAGTGTTACAATACACCTATCATTCAATTTTTAGACTGATCATTTCTTTGTGAGTGGGCAAACATTCAAAATCAGCAGGGGATCAAATACTTATTTCCCTTCACTGTATATCAGAAGTCAATAGCTCTTGCTGCTCTCAGCAAACCTGGAGAGAGGACAGAAGACCTGCAGACATGCACCGTGCTGGATCAATACAGGACTCAGGTAAGTATTTTGGTGTGGGGATGGGGAGTAACAGCAACTGGAAGGTTTTTTTTTTTTTTTCATAGAATGCATTAAGGTTAAAAACCTTTTGCGTTTAGAACCACTTTAAAGGGGAGCTTCAGTCATTTCTGTTTATTAAAAGCCAGCAGCTACAAAAACTGTGGTTTGTAGAACTTCTGCTTCCGATCGCCCAGGCGGTCGGAGCGAAGTGGGTACCTGTCAAAATCATGTACTTGCTACCCCCCCCCCCCCCCCCCCCCCCCAAAAAAAAAGTTCCATTTGGAAAGGAAGAGAGGGGAAAGAAGAGTTAAAACGGAACCTCCCCTCTTTTGGGCGGAGCTTCGCTTTAAGTAGCAGCTCCCATATTTTTGGGCCAACAGTTGCAATTTAAAACCTACTAGAAGACATTTTCAGACAAACACAAAAAACAGTCAGCCTGCGCAGTATTAACTAATTCAGCTTGGTGCATCAGGATTATTTTAGGCCCTTGTGACTAGACAAAGCTATTTATATTTTAACCACCAATGTACTGTAAAAAAAAACTGCAAAAAGGTAGATATTTAGGACAGTGTCAATAAAGGGTCCACGCTCACTCTTCTTCATTATCAGAAAGACGTTAACAGCCAACTGAGTAAGGGCAACAGATCTACATATACAAGGACCACCAGTGGCCTCTTCACTTTCAAATAAAACCATATATACTGAACATAAAACACAGCAAATCAGGCAGCAGTGCTCAGATGTTGGAAAGGGTTAGTGTAAACATGGCTCTCCAGCAACATGATGAGAACTTTGTGTATCCAGCTTCAAGTCACTATTTTTATACCTTCTTTATTATGTTAAACTATTTTAAGCCTACTCTAAATAGAGAACACAGAACACCAGGGCAATTTAGATAACCTTCAATAATGTTATACGTCTTACCTTCCAACGATTTCCACATTCATTACAGAATACAAATGTTGTCATAGGTTCATCAGCGCTGCGGGTCTGAACCTTTGAAATAGAAACAGACATCATTAGCAGTGTTTAGACAGTAGGTTACAATGAAATGTGGCTTGTGTGGTAAAGATAGACAGATAACCAATGTCTCCTGCACACACAATGAGAAAATTGGACAAAAAAAACCACCTCCGGAGCGATCGCTCGATAATCTGAATGTACACATCTTTTCGAGAGGCGATCACAACAGTTCATGCAAAATTATCTGTAGGGGCAAACACAAAAATATTTCGCCTAACAGAACAAATGATTTTTGTGTAACCAGCACAGTATACGCCTGTAAACAAAAGGGAAAAAAATAAAAAAATCAAAAAAAAAAAAATCGAGAGACCAAGACTGGGCATGCTCGGAAAGCAAAAGAATTACAATACATCACCGCAGGAAGTTGTATTCTGTCTTACACAAGAATTTCCATAACGCTAGTAACCTATTTGCTTTTGATACCAGACTAGCATGCAAAAAAAAAAAACAAAAAAACAAAACGAAAAACCGACAAACAATTGTTCGTTCAATATGGACAAACGTGCAGTAGGTACTTCTTACGGTTTAGGGGGTGTTGGTTAATAACAAAAAGGCCCCCATTAATTTTGTAGGCAGAAAGGCTTCATTTAGTTTGCGGTTAGGAGATCCATTGATAATGGAGGAAAAATTTAAATCACCCCCTCCCAACTATTTGCTTTTTACCTACAACATACAGACATGAACTGGTCAGATGAGTCCATTAAATAGTATCCATCAGTGCTTATACTTAAATGTGTACTTAGACTTTTTGGCTGAAAAAAAAAAACAGTTCAGAAGATCAAACAAACTAAGGCTAGGCTCTACATGCCACGGTTTGTGTGCAGGCATGGAAGTTCATCCATCTGAAAAGGGCTGCCATGCCACCTGAAACACAAGAAGGAGGTCCTTGCAGCATGTTAGAAATCGCAGCCCGCATGGAACCAAAAGTGCAGCGTGATCTCCAGTGCTTGCAGGAGCATTATAATGCCACCTGCACACAGAGTCTGCATTTTTTCTGTGCAGGTGGTTGTAGCTGGGAGAACAAGTGTGTTCCCATAGTGGAAATCGCCCAAGCAGATTTGTACCTAGCATAAAGCAAGATGGAAGCAACACTGCAACATTCCCAAAATAATTCCTTTATCAGAAAACTTACCTGTGTGTAAGTGCAATTCTTCTTTTTACATTTTCCACAGGAAAACAGGTCAGTCTGTGTACCACCAGTCCTGGCCATTTGGTGCTCCCGGATGGCCTCCTTAGTCAGGTTCTTCCTCATTTCCTTAAGCTCATCACTGGCCATTTCCTGGGCAAGATCGGAAGAAGCCATACTTCAGACACCTCATAGCAATTTAATGGGCTGAACAACAGAAGGACAAAACTAAACACAGCTGTTCACAGCAATCCAATTTAAACTTAATTTCTCCAGCCTACAGCAAGAAGTATGGATCTGACCTACTGCCAAGGATAAAAACATTTAATAAACCAGACAGGATAAGCTCTGTTATTTTTCAGTGAACCAATTTCTATTTCAACTGTTCATCTTCCTATGCCACCTGCGTGTTCAATGGATCAATGGCGTGATAAAGCAGATCATTCAATGAGAAGAAGGGGACACCAGAAGCCAGTAAGTTGCTCTGCAGTGAGACAGAGCTATATAAATCACAAGACCAAACAAAGTTACAAATATTTTGGCAGGTAAACAGTTCTACCAAAAACGCACCCAACTATGAATCCGTTTATCAGAATTATTTTCTGATTAGCCCAACCTTCTGAATGCCATAATAGAAATCATGCACAATGGATGTGTAAAAAAAAACAAAAAAAAAAAAAAAAAAAAACAGTATGGCTACCATATTTGGGAAATACTATGAGAAGCCTAGTATATTCACCATCCCCCCTTCAGATGACTGCTTTTGACGCGCCTTTTTTTTATTCCTTATCTTTGCCGCATTTATCACACTCCGATCTTTCAGCTTTGAACACGGAGACTTCTATCAGGATGAAGGATTGAACGCAGAGATTTTCCATCAGGATGAAGCAAATGGCCCGGCACGGAAGGGGATTGCTGAAACTTAAGTATGTTCACTAGCATATGGTGTGGTTTTTTGGAGAACTCTTAAAACATTTGCTTAGCCCAGGCAAGAGAGTGTGCAGTTTTAAGTAGATCAAGAGTTCTGATCTGATCATGTATATGGGAAACTTTCTGTAACTGAGGTATAGACGGCCTATCCAACAAACAACGTTCCGCTGTAGATATCTGGTGGAGAAGGGATTGCCTGGCGCAGACAGAGGCCTTCTACAAACAGGCGCCCATGGAAATACAGAGTCCTCGAATAACGGCCTTATGGGCCTCCCATAGGGTAGAGGATGAGGATACTGAGCCAACATTGAAATGAAAATAAGCATCCAGACCCTGAGAGAGCTCCTCTCGAAGCAGTTCCGAGCGCACAAAAAAAATTAGCGCCAGTGGCAAATCCTGAGAGCAGAGTCAAGGAGAATGAGGTCAAGTGTTAGTGAGGTATGGTCCGACCAAGTTATCAGATTAATCTTCAAAGAAACGATAAAGGGTAGCAGGTGGGCGGTGACAATAAAATGATCTACTCTAGAGTACATGTGATTTGGAGTAGAATAAAATGTGAATTGCCTATGGAGAGGATGTTTGACTCGACAGGCATCGAAGAGACGATGCTCCCGAATTAGTTTGCGGAAAGTTGAGGAGGAAGCGCATAGCCGCTTCAATGGGGTGGGAGCAAAGAGCCTCTATCCTTATGGGGTGACATAACCAAGTTTAAATCCCCCCCAATAATCATACGGAGAGCGGATATCGAGCATAACTCAGAGAGAAATAGCAATTGACAAATTCAAAAGTATAAATGGAGAGCCTGCATACATACGTTCCAGCAACACATAACGACCATGTGGATCAATTTGAGAGGAGGAGAACCTCAGGGAGCAGTTTTTCCAGATTAAGATAACTACACCGCCTTTCCCAGAGGGAGTAGGATTGTGGAAAGCTCTTGGAAGCAAAAACGAAAAGAGCCATCCTGTTTGAAATGAGTTTCCTGAAAGAATATAACATCTGCTCCTGAGGATCTGAACTCCTTCAAAGCCATCCACTGCTTTTGGATTGAATTAAGCCCTTTGACATTATAGGACAACAGCCGTAAAGCCATCATAAAACAGCAAAGGGTATAGCTGCTGCGTAACTTGAGCACACAGATAAATTATCATCGATGAGACAAAACAGAAAAATAACAGACAGAGAACCAGGTGATTATCATGGCAACAGGCCTAGTGCAAAGCAATGTATCACAGAGCAGAGGCCGCAGGGACTACGCCCAGAAACAAAGATATAATCAAAGATGTGTACCCGGGATATCAGAGATATCCCGAGTCGTCAGGGCTGGGAGCCTGATGCACAAGGGGGCAACATGGCAGCTGACCCTAAATGACAGGCGCCTACCTCAGAGAACCAATTAACAGCTCTAATCAGGACATACAAATGAATGAAAGGTAATACACAATTGCTAAGGCACACATGGGAGCATAAGAGCTCATTAAACAAGGCAGGAAACCCGATAACTGGAAGAGTGAGGTGGTGAGGCCCTCTGAGCCAAGGAGGCGAGACCATTGGGGAGTGCGTGGAAACCTCTTCCTCCCAGGTTTGGCGGTGTCCAGATCTTGCGTGGAGTAGCAAAAGACAGGGATGGTGTAGAAGGTTGCATAAAAGCCTCTTCCGGTAGGGGAGGAAGCCCCAACTGTTTAAAGAAGGAATCCGCTTCATGGAGATCACGGAGGAACACTTGGGAATTATCCTTGGAGACGAGCTTAAAAAGGAAATCCCCACCGGTAGGCGAGCCGGTGCTGCTGGAGATGAGTGGTAAACGGTTTTAAGACACCTCTTTGCCAAAGTAATGGGGGATAGATCACTGAAAATCTGGAGCTCGTCTCCCTAAATTCCAGGGAGGTCTTGTAGAGAGTAGAGGTGATCAAAGCTTCTTTGCAGTCAAAGTAATGGAAGCGAATAATAACGTCTCTGGGCCTAGTTCCCGCAGGAGCCTCGGGCCTAACGATCTATGGGCCCAATCCATACACCAATCAACATCTGGGACTTTGGGGGCCAGAGTGGTAAACAGAGACAGCAAGTGGTGTTTAAGTTGGGAGCTTTAACCACTTGCCGTCTGCCTGCTGTTTATAAACGGCAGGGCGGTGGCACTCCAGGGGCGGGTTGCCGTTCATAAACGGCATCCGCCATTTCTACCTGTGCGCGCTCCCTGTGAGCGCACAGCACCGCGATCTGGTGCCCGCTGTGTCCTCCGGACACAGTGAAACACCAATCGTCGGACGGGACCTCTGTACGAGGTCCCGATCATGTGATCACTGATTGGCCAATCAGTGATCACATGCAAAGTAGTAAGCAAGATGTCACTTGTGACATCATTGCTTATAAGTGTGAAATCTGTGAATGATCACAGAATTCACATGGTACAAGGCTATCCACAACAGCCTTGTACCATGTGACAAGCTGTGACCAATCACAGCTCACTCAGTAGTTCTCAATGGCTGCAAGAATGCAGACAGAGAAAGAGAAAGGATTGCTTTTACATCCTATATGGATGTAAAAGCATTCACTGTAAAGAAAGAAAAAAAAAATCATCACCCCCCACAAGTAGTACAGTGTCACCATGGTGACACTGTACTGCTAGGGTGACAGTATGTAAAAAAAAAATAAAAAAAAAATAAAATAAAAAATAAAAAAAAAAAAAAAAAAAAAAGTAAAAAAATTATAATTTTTGGTTACAAACTAATTTGCTTTTTTTTCTTCTTTTTTTTACTAAAAAGGTAACGGAATACATTTTGGCCAAGATTTATGATAAAAGATTATTTGCAAAATTTTATAAGAAAAACTTTTCAAAATTTTTGGACTTTTTCATTTACATACCAAAAAAAATAAAAATCCCAGCGGTGAATAAATACCACCAAAATAAAGCTTTATCTGTCTCAAAAAAATGGTAAAAAATTCATATGGGTACAGTGTTGCACGACCGCGCAATTGTCAAAGTGTGATAGCGCTGAAAGCTGAAAATTGCCCTGGACAGGAAGGGGGTAAAAGTGTACGGACTGGAAGTGGTTAACTGGGACACGGAATGTTTTAAATTTGCGTTATCCTCCTCCAGGACATGCACATATTGCACCAATTCATCAAACTTTGATTCAAGGTGGTCTGTGTCAATTTCCCAATTTCAGCAGAGATGGTGCAGATGGATATTATGTAAATATACTTGCAATTTGCCTTCCAGGATGTCCACTGTCAGAGGGGGGAATCTGTGTCTGACCCTGCCACGTCAGCGGATTCTTTGGCGCACTCACTTGGGCCGCCACAACTACTCGAGGCCCGGGGATGCAGGTCTAGTGAAGAAGCGATCCAGCATGGAAGGCCTCGAGTCCAGAGGAGGCGGCATGGGTGGCTTCCATCTCCCAATTTTGCCCATGGGTGTGCCCGAGTACGTCCTGACACAGGTGAGAGCAATCCCGGATCTGTGGCTGCTGTGGAACAGTGACGGGAGGCCGACGCAGTCCAAGGATCGGCGGAGCTCACCCTTCACACATCCGCCATCTTGGGATGCAGCGCATGTGCCGATAGTCATCTTTTATTCCCCATTTTGAGCAAACATATTATACAGGATTTATATAGCACCCTCATTTGCGCAGCGCTTAGGAAACGGGGAGACAGTACAGTTACCATACAATTCAATAAAAGAGGGCCCTACTCAGGAGCGCTGACAAATAAAAGAGAAGGGTCATGTGATACAAACAATAATACTGAGAACAAGGGGGAGAGGAGCTTTTAAATTGTCACTACTGTGTTTCCTGTAGAGGAAGAGTCAGTATCTCATGTAGCCGGTCCTGGAAGACGCATTGGGAAAAGCTCAATTGTAGGCAGAGGAGGCATAAGCATCCTTGAAGAAACTAGTTTTTAGGGGCTGCCTAAAAGTGTACAGAGAAAGCTGGAAAGATTGGGGTAAGGAGTTCCAGAAGATGAGAGAGGCTCTGGAGAAGTTCTGGAAGCAAGCATGGAAAGAGCAAAGGAGCAGATTTTGGGAAAACAAAAATGGATGGTTTGGGTAATATCTTGAGACAAGTTTGGTGATGTAGCTCAGGGCAGAGTTGTAGTTGGCTTTGTATGTGGTTAGTATGTTGAACTTTATTCATTGGCAGAGTGGAAGCCAATGGGGAAATAGAGAGGGGAAGTGGACACTGATGATCAGTAAGTATCACAGCAGCATTCATGATATACTGAAGGGGTGATAGCCTGTGTAAAGCAGGCCAATGAAAAGGGATTTGCAATAGTCAAGGGGAGCCATAAAAGAAATGGTGCTGTCACTGATTAAGAAAGGGGCACAATCTGGAAATTTTACAGATGTAAAGGCAGCAAGATTTGGACAGTGACTGGCTGTCTCCAAAGGAGAGGCTGGATTCCAGGATTATACCTAGCACCCCGTGGCGTGAGGAGACTGATAGTTGTGCTACTTATCTCAATTAAAAAGTCAAATAATGGGAAGGTGTGGGGGGGGAGGTCTGGAGTGGACTGTTTGTAGATAAATTCTGGTTTATTTGGTTTTCAAATCTAGGCTGCAGCTTCTAATCAAATTGTTTTTATATCCAAAAGCGTACTTGAAAAGCAAAAAATACAATACTTGGCAGCTTTTGACAATTTATATACCTGCTTTTGATTTTAACCCTTGCACTTTACCCTAGTAAGAGCAAGACGACAGATAGCTCAGGGAGCACCACATTTTATGTGCTACAGCTACTAAGACACCTTTGTGACATCTCTCCAGTCACTTAGACAGCCCTAATTAACAAGAATTTTGCAACTATCTGTTCCTGCAAGGTACTCACTCAGTGGCCCTATACACTCACCTCTGCAGACATCTTGGCAAACACATTTGGAGAAATGTTGCCACAAAGGACATTTCGTCTCAAGTTTGGGTTTTTTGCATCCTTTAGGTTAGCAATTCTGCTCCGAACTCTGTTCTTGTACTTTGCATCCGTGTTTTTAAACTCTTGATACACAGGTTCAGTGCAGTCAAGGAAAAAGAAAAACTAAAAAAGGGGACATTTCATTATCTTCATAAGTCTACATAATTAAATTAATAATGTGGCGCAACATACAGCTACAAAAAACTAATGTAATGGGTAATGTTGAAGCTACTAGTTCCCCATCCTCATGATGGTGCTTACCTGGTTATCTTTTAATGTCCAGCATTTCAATTCTCTACAGAAATGAGTGAAAGTTTTTTCACTACCTCCGGAAATAGAGCTCATATAGCCTGCCTGCAGGAAACCCATTTAATCGTCTGCCTCACGTCCCAAATATTTAGATACCTGCTACCCCATTGTATATCAAGCTAACAGCCCCAGTAAACAAACAAACAGGGGGGAGGGTGTTGAAAAAAACAATTAGCCACCCCCCCCATGGTAGCTATTTACTGCTTCAAGGCATCCTTCAAGATACTGAGGTTACAATCTTGACCTACTATGCTACTAATGTGAACCCGAATTCCTCTCTCTCCCATGTTTGTTCCCTCTTGGCAACCCACCAGGCACGCTGCTGCTGGCTGGTGATTCTAATTTAATCTTGAATCCCATGTTAGATAAATATCCAGCCGATGATTCAGCCCCACCAACTGCTGTCAAACACTTTAGACAACTTCTTAATGACCATGGTCTGGTTGATCTCTGGAGGGAACTTCATCCCTTAGCAAAAGATTTCACGCATTATTCGCATCCACACCACTCCCAATCCAGGATCGACCATGTATTTATGCAACGTAACTGTCTCCCTATAGTTCTCTTGGCTACCATCTTGGCTATTCTTGGTCAGATCATGACCCAGTACTGGTCTCTTGCAGCTCCTTGCTCTGTAAGCCTCAAGACCCTCTATTGGTCATGAATGACTCCTTGCTCTCTATTAAAGAGATTCAGGCTGATCGTTTACAAAAATCTCAAGAATATTTTGAGCTCAACGCGGGGTTGGTTTCTTCCCCAGTAACAGTGCGGGAGGCTTACAAGGCTGAACTACGCGGACAAATTATCATGATAGCATCAAAAAGTAAGAAGAAACGCGTACACGTAACAACAATGCCAGCTAGAAACCAACTTGGAAGCGGTTTTAAAACAATTTAAAAAAATCTGCTACTCAGTCTAACCACAAGCTTGTTGACTAGGCCCGCACTGAGCTGCTTCTTTGCTTGACAGACTCGGCAGAACAGACCCGTCAAAAATGGTACGTGAAGGCTAATAACCCGACACAATGTTGGCAAAGCGACTTCGCACCTTGCGCCGAAACATTCCCCAATCACCTTGAGAACTAAACATGGCATTATCACCAGCAACCCTATTCGGATATTAGATGAGTTCAGGCACCATCTTAAGTCTTTGTATGCTGCACCTACACAGGAAAATGATCAGGATATAGTACACTTTTTGGGGGGGGGGGGGGGGGGGGGGGGGGGGGGGGGGGGGGGGGGGGGGGGGGGGGGGTCTCTCCCTCCAGACCCTTACACTAGCTCATAGGGCACTTATGGACCGAGCCATTTCCGCCTCAGAAATTCAGAGCATCAAAGACTTAAAATTGGATAAACAGCCTGGACCTGATAGCTATTCCGCTCTCTTCTATAAAAAATTTGCAGACAATATCACTCCTCACTTAGCAACTATGTACAATACTATTCGGGAAGCCTGCGTTCTCTCCTCCTCTCTTCTGACTGCAAACATTATTATGATCCCTAAACCTAACAAGGATCTCCACAATTGGGCAAAATTATTGCACAATTTCTGATCAATATAGATCTAAAACTTGTCACAAAGATTCTTGCGAATAGGCTCAATTCCTTTTTGACTAGACTAATTAGGAAAGATCAGGTGGGCTTTGTTCCAAACACCAAGCAGGAGATGCCATCCATCGAGTTCTACAATTACTCCATATCGCCAAAGGTCGATCCCTGGAAATGATGCTTCTATTGTTAGATATAACCAAGGCCTTTGACACCCCTTCTTGGCCCAACTTAACTACAGTCCTCAGTCATTATGGTTTCGGCCCGCTTTTCATGCATTGGATAGCTGCCTTGTACAATGCACCCCAAGCTAAGCTTAGATACCATGGGTTTGAATCCTCCACTTTCCCGATCAAACGGGGCACCCGACAGGGTTGCCCTCTTTCGCCATCTTGCTTGTTCTGGCCAAAGAACCTCTGGCTGAAGCGATTCGTAGCAATCTTGATGTGATGGGCGTTGACGTTGTAGGATCCGCTCATAAAATCTCTGTTTGCGGACGACATATTAGCCTCAACATCCCCCCGCCTTTCTCTACCTAACTTGATGTAGATTCTAGATTCTTTTGATTCACTCTCCGGTCTCCATGTTAATCCAGGAAAATCACAAGGCTCTCTCGGTGTCTCTTGCACCGCAGACTTTGGAAGCTCTCAGTCAGTCCATCCTTCAATGACTTGCCTTGCTGCCATATTTTGGTATCCGCTGTCCCCAACCTATGAGGGCCTATATTAGGCCAATTTGCCCTCTTTATTTAAAGCATTGTCGGATCTGTTGCTCTCATGGAGCCATCTTCCTCTAACCTGGTTTGGCAGGATCAATGCAATTAGAATGATGTATCTGCCCAAATTGTTATACGTCTTCATAGTTCTTCTGGTTCTGGTACCCCCTCATATACTCAGAATTCAACAGCAGAACATTCTTCGCTTTATTTGGGGTTCCTCTCAACCACGTCTTAATACTGTTCACTCGCAGGATCTATGGAGGCCTCTTGCTTCCTAACCTTCAAGCTTATCTTTCAGCCAACCTCACCCCATTCCTTCTTCACATGAGACTTACCACTTGCCCCTATGAGCTACAATTGATATGATCGACTCCCACCCAACACCCCTGTCTTCTTCGCCATGGCTCCCTCCCAATCATCGGGCATAGGTTCTTCTCTATTGCATACCCTCAGTCTCTGGGATTCAATTAAATATTCTGCCTTTTTACTGCCACAAAGCTTACCACTGCAAAACCTCAGTCTCGAAGTGGTGAAACATTGCATGAGCGATAAAATGGTCAACAAAAAATTGACATCATTATTGTCTGACTCTCATGGCCAGTTCCTGTGCGTTTGGCAACCCTGGATATCATACATTTATCCCTCATGCTTTGACCATACCTTACTAATATTGCGATATCTTGAATAAATTAACAAAATTGACCACCTTCCCTTTCTCTTTCCTCTCTATTTTTCCTTCTGTTTTAGGGTAACATCCACGCCATGGGAGTGACAACTTGACGTGGGCAAGCACGCAAACGGCACTTGTCATTAACCTCCCTAGCGGTCTGATTATGTCAGTATTTCTGTGTTAAAAGCGGTACATTTGTTTGCATGGAAATATGTAGGTTTTTTTTATTCTAGGCCTGTAATTTTTAGGAATAACTCACTGAAATCTGTCCGAACAAGAGTCTAGTAAACATCCCGGGTATGTTAAAATTTGAAACACGAAATCATAATTTAATAAATAATCATAAAAAAAATATAATAAATTTAATTCAATAATATAATCAAACCAAAAACACTGAAATTTGAAATATAGCGCCAAGTTCGCACATCACTGAGCAAAGTCGCAAAATCGTTTTCAGTGTCTGATGACAAATTTCCCCACGAATCATTATGACTCAATTCTGCAAGTAGTTCTAATTTACTATCACTGTTCTCTAGCTTGTCTAAAACCGCTTTTTACCTAAAAGGGACGCTTTTTGGACGCCATGGACGTTTCTCAGTTTCCAGGCAGAAAAAACATGCAGGCAGGGCACAGGACAAAGCACTAGGGACAAAATGTATGTGAAATGGTTTGATACAGTAATGTCTTACTATGTGATTTTAGTGTATTGAGTGAATGTCACTTTTTGACATTTTTAAATTTCCTGCCAGTTCCGTCCCCCGTACGTCCTGACGTCGCAGGGAATGGAACCCAGGAGACAGATGCCGGCTTCGGCCGGAGGACATGGCCGGGGACGCTGCAGGGGGGACATCGTGGGGGAGCGCGGGACAAGGCAAGTGCAGAAGGGATCCCGGAGCAACGCTGCAGGGTATTCCCGAGTGTAGCTCGGGGTTACCGCTTGTGGTGCTGAAACTTTACCCCGAGCTACACTCGGGAACACCTCCAGGGAGGTTAAAGTCATTTAGGACCCTTCTCTAATGCACTTTGCTGACCATCACTTGTGCTGCTGTGCGCTGCATGTTTGCGGAGGCTGACTAATTTAGCTAAGTTCCTGTGGAACAAGTGTAGGATAGCTTCCACTTGATACCATAATGTGAATGAACCTTCCTCCCCTATGTTCTCTCTTCTTTTCTGGTTTCCTTCTATTTCTTCTTGATGATCTTCCTTTTCTACAATTTATTCGAATGCCTTAGTTCAACAATACCTCACTGGCTTTAGGGCCGAGCAGATATTGCAACTTTTTGTAATTTTTTCGGTTAGAGCTTGATGCCCTCTGGTTCCACCTCTAACATTCAAGTTGTTGCTGGTCTTTAGGTTTGATTTCTACGAGCACCAGAACATCATCAATTCCATGTCCTGGTCAAGTTTCTTTTGACCTTCAGCTGCCCATTTGTTGTTTCTCTTATTTTGTTATAATTTGAGGCTGTCCTTTGTACTATATTGTACACAACTTTCTGGTATCTCAGTTACTTGGCTCTGTATGTATATGTCATTTGTTAATAAAACCCTTTGTAAATGAAAAGGATATCTTCTTCAATCTGAGCCCCAAGCTCCTCATCATCTGCACCAATTGTAATGTAATCATCTACAGGAAGAAAACATAATATAATAAAGAGACGACAGTTATAGAACAAATACATACAGAATGACTTAATACATCAAATGCTTTCTACGACTATTACCTACTATACATTGTATTAGCGGATCCTCAAATATGCTTCATTCAAGAGTTATTTTCCAAACCTGTTAACAATTGTAACTTGCCTAAATGCCTGTTTACCCTTAACAAAAGACAGACACATTAGTTAGCCTGCATACAGAATGCATTATCTGTTTACATATCAATATATCAATACAGTGCAGCACACATACAGCTCAGTACACTGCTCATACTTGTGAAATGTGTGAGGAGCAATGCTTCATAGGACATGTAGTCCAGCGCAGAAGAAGGAAGCAATTTAAAGTGATTCTAAAGGGAGAGGTTATAGGTAATAGAAGGCATTACAATTAAATTTAAAAAGAGTAACTCCACTTTTGTTGAGAACCGCCCCCCCCCGCCCAACCCCCGGGCGGTCTATGTACATAGAAAGGATTTTGCCAAGCTTTGTTGCAGATTCCTACCCATTTGTTATTCTGAAGAAATAGATGTATGTTTGTCTGTGTCCATGTGAGAGCGAATCTCTATGGGAGTGGTTTTAGAATTCTCAATCAGCTGCTGCACCTGCAGGGCTCTAATGAGGAAATTGGCAAGGTCTGAATCCCTTTTCCTTTTGGAAGTATTTCACCAAGAATGGCATTTTTTGTTGCAGGGGATGCCAAAAATCTATAGTGACTTCTGGGTAAATTACTGAACCAACCACATAGGCAGAACATGACATTTTCAGGGGGCGTTCTGTACACCATCGGTGTACATCCATATTGCATTGTGCAGAAATTACAGGTCTGCAGATTGAAAAGAAAAGGTATTTTTTAATAACATTAATTTATGATAGGACTTGGAATTGTATACTTTTTTTTTTTTTTTACACACAAAAGTGGAGTTACCCTTTAAAGAAAAAATTTGCCAGTATCGTGCATTTTATTTAAAATTATTATATCCATGCAGCCTTCAGTACTACTTTGCATAAAAGATTTATGTTCCCCTTCCACCCCTCATAGGGCTTCATGTCTGACGTGTGTGTTATAATGTAATAATAAATTAACCTCTTATAGTATCTGCGGTTTTGTACTATAAAAAAGGGATATTTTTTGGTTTTTTAACCCCATGACAGGTAATACAAAAAAAGCATGCTGCTGCTGCTGCTACGAATTATCTTAGTGACAGTAGGCACAGGCATCAAGCTACCTGCCTATGACAAGGGAGTCTTATGCATATTATTATATTACAATTCTGTCTGAAAATCAGCAAAACAGCGTTTTAGTTTTTTTTTTTTTTTTTTTTTCTTTAAATAGAAATTTTGATCTGAATCTGATATGTACTCAATTATATATCTCGTCTGTTATTCTCAGAGTGAAACAGATAGTTTGTTCCCTAACCAAGTAGCTGGTTATTTATATTTACCATTGCATATAGATATTAAAGAATAAAATAGTCTTTTTTTAAAAAACTTTAAATTATACACCACAATTTGAGGTTTTTATTTCGATTAAATCGGCTAAGTATTCGATTATGAAAATAACGTTATAGAAAGACAGTTTGCAGTTTATTTCCTCACATTTTCTTAAGGTGCGATATTACAAAGATGCATAAACAATTTATGCTTCTGTACTTTCATATTCACTCTCTCAGACAAATGCAATGCTAAAGGTTCTTTAATGCCCTCCAGTGGCAACAAACTAGCATTACTTGAAAAAAAGTTGAGTAAAAAATGAAACCTCAAATAGCAGAACTAGTCTAGTCTAGAGAGACTACAAAGGGGGTCAAGCAACCTGTAAATGGTGATCTATCAGTAGATTGTGGCCAGGTGACTGGTAGATCGCAAGTAAACCACAGCACATCAATGTGAAATCAGCCTTATAGGAGGCTCAGAATAGTAAGGGTTCATTTACATCTGCAGTTTGGAGGGTGGTAAAACCCCATAGTTAAGACATGTTTTTGCCATCCACACCCAAACCGCACCCCCATTAAATGCAGTGGCCAGAGGTGTACACATGTCGCAGCCACAGCACGAGTTATACGCCCTGTTATGGTTACTGGATGTAGCACTTGCAAAGCAAGACACAGTAAAGTGAATGAGGCTGCCATGACCCCTGGTTCACATATCTGCAGCTGTGTGGGCCGCGTTTTGTGTGGGCACGAGAGCCCATTCATTTGATTGGATTCCCGTGTCCTGGGACATACAGGAAAAAAGCCCCTGTACTTCAGAAAACGCAGCCCGCACGGTAACTTTGGTTCCCAGTACGGTTGCAATTTCCAGTGCGAGCGGCATGCCATTAGAATTAATGGCACCTGCCTGTGGGTCCGCATTCCTCCGTGCGGGTGGTGTGACTGCACTGATTTTTGTGTGGATCCGCAGCGGCACCACCCGTATAGATGTGAACCTAGCCTGAAAGTGCCCTGCAACCTTGTGCAGTACAGCAAACAAAGGGTTAAAGCTGGCAGTGTGTTGCTTTCACTCCTTGGATCCCGCAAAAGCATGCTGTTGCAGGGCGCTTGCAGATTGGCCCCATTTACTTGAATGGGCCATGAGTCATGATTGGCAGGTGGTAGCAACCACCAAAAGCAACAGGGGGTTTAATACCTGCTGTGGCATGTGTACCCCTTTTGCTGCTGCCTCAGCAGCTAAAGAGGGTAGGGATTGGGGGCAGTAAAACCAACTCAACCACCCCCAACTTTGTTAATGAGCCCTAAGTGTTCATTCACAAAAGCAGCAGGCACTGCTGCTCCTCTGAAAAGTGATTTAAGTGTGTTTGACAGGTGGTGAGGAGGAGATAGAGTGGGGCAAAAAAGCATTTAGTCAGCCACCAATTGTGCAAGTTCTCCCACTTAAAAAGATGAGAGAGGCCTGTAATTGGCATCATAGGTAGACCTCAACTATGAGAGACAAAATGAGAAAAAAAATCCAGACAATCACATTGGCTGATTTGGAAAGAATTTATTTGCAAATTATGGTGGAAAATAAGTATTTGGTCACCTACAAACAAGCAAGATTTCTGGCTCTCACAGACCTGTACCTTCTTTTTTTAAAAGGCTCCTCTGTCCTGCACTCATTACCTGTATCAATGGCACCTGTTTGAGGTTGTGGACAGGTGTCTTTTAAACTGATAACAAGTTCAAGCAGTCACACTCCAAACTCCACTATGGTGAAGACCAAAGAGCTGTCGAAGGATACCAGAAACAAAATTGTAGACCTGCACCAGGCTGGGAAGACTGAATCTGCAATAGGCAAGCAGCTTGGTGTGAACAAATCAACTGTGGGGGCAATAATTAGAAAATGGAAGACATACAAGACCACTGATAATCTCCCTTGATCTGGGGCTCCATGCAAGATCTCACCCCGTGGGGTCAAAATGATCACAAGAACGGTGAGCAAAATTTCTAGACCACAACGGAGAACCTAGTGAAAGACCTGCAGAGAGCTGGGACCAACGTAACAAAGGTTACCATCAGTAACACTACGCCGCCAGGGACTCAGATCCTGCAGTGCCAGACGTGTCCCCCTGCTTAAGCCAGAACATGTCCGGGCCCGTCTGAAGTTTGCTAGAGAGCATTTGGATGATCCAGAAGAGGATTGGGAGAATGTCATATGGTCAGATGAAACCAAAATAGAACTGTTTGGTAGAAACACAACTCGTCGTGTTTGGAGGACAGAGAATGCTGAGTTGCATCCAAAGAACACCATACCTACTGTGAAGCATGGGGATGGCAACATCATGCTTTGGGGCTGTTTCTCCACAAAAGAGACCAGGACGACTGATCCATGTACAGGACAAAATGAATGAGGCCATGTATCGTGAGATTTTGAGTGCAAACCTCCTTCCATCAGCAAGGGCATTGAAGATGAACCGTGGCTGGGTCTACCAACATGACAATGATCCCAAAACATACCGCCCGGGCAACGAAGGAGTGGCTTCGTAAGAAGCATTTCAAGGTCCTGGAGTGGCCTAGCCAGTCTCCAGATCTCAACCCCATAGAAAACCTTTGGAGGGAGTTGAAAGTCCGTGTTGCCCAGCGACAGCCCCAAAACATCACTGCTCTAGAGGAGATCTGCATGGAGGAATGGGCCAACATACCATATAGAATAAAATAAACAGTAAGCGCTCAATACTGATGGCAGCAGCTGGACATACAGGAAAACGCATAAGAAGTCCCACAATACATAAATATATAAATGCAGCGCTTAAGAGTGATAAACACAGTCCGGTGAAAGGAGTGCTCCGTGATTCCTAGTGCAAATGGTGGAAATTTACACTAACCAGAAAGCGTAAAATAAAACGCATGTGTGTATATATCCTATGGGATCGCCTTCTCCACTCGGATCTGGTCAGAAGAATAGCCGGAAAGGGTAGGTGTCCTGCGCCCTCATGGTGAAAGTGTGGTCCAGCAGGTCAGAAAGATGCCAATCTGAGAAAAGTCTCCCCCGTCCTAGAAGATCCTTAGGGGCTGTGAAAATGTAAGAAGCTCCTCACAGGAGACACAGGGGAGTACTCATAGTGTAGTAGATACTAGATAAGGCTTTATTTATAAAACATCTGTGCACAATGAACAGGGTATAGGCAGATATGGATGATGAAACACACTGACCCCTTGATAACAAAGATGGCCGCGGGCCTCCTCGTGGCACCGGCGGCTTAGTGTCAACGACGTCCTGGGTCCCACCTGACGCGTTTCGTGCGCACGCACTTCTTCAGAGGTGGAACAAAGGAACCGCCGTGACCGTCTTATCTGACATTTATACCGTAACTGGCGCATGCGCACTGATGCGGCGCCATCTTGCCGAGGTCCGCGTCCGCACCAGCAACAGTGTGTGCCAACCTTGTGAAGACTTACAGGAAAACGTTTGACCTCTGTCATTGCCAACAAAGGATATATAACAAAGTATTGAGATGAACTTTTGATATTGACCAAATACTTATTTTCCACCATAATTTGCAAATAAATTCTTTCCAAATCAGCCAATGTGATTGTCTGAGAAACAAAATGAGAAAAAAAATCCATAGTTGAGGTCTACCTATGATGCAAATTACAGGCCTCTCTCATCTTTTTAAGTGGGAGAACTTGCACAATTGGTAGATGACTAAATACTTTTTTGCCCCACTGTATGTTGCCTCCTCACCACCCGATTTAAACGCATGAGTGCTGTGCAATGCACATTATTGTGACATGGTAGTACGGCAATTAGAGGATTAAATCAGGTGTGAAGAGGTGACACTGTGCCGGTGATCTTTGACTTTTCCCATGTTCTTTAGGTAGATCTCCACCTCTTTAAAGTTACCTACCCAGGGACTACAGGCATGTTTTTGCTTTGTGGAGAACTATTTTCCCCAATACTCTCCTTAAGTCTGTTATAAGTATCTTGTGAAACTTACCTCCTGTTTTAAGGGCTGCAGACAGCAGCTCTCTGCATTTAATCCTAACAGGGTCTGATGTACTAGGTGCCCGTGGATAAGAGGTAATGTAGTTGTCAGATGAGGCAGCACAGTCCTCCTTCCGAAAGCTGGAATTACTGCTTGAACTGCTGAGAGTAGAAAAAGAAGGGTGAAGCAGAACGGCCTGGAAAACAGTATACTGTCCTGAATCAAACCAGACTGACACCAGCCATTTGATGGCTGACAGAACAAGCAAACGTGACAATTAGCAATCCCGAGTAGCAATGCCTGGAATGTAACTTTTTCGAAACCTTGGGGGCTTGTTCAAACCATGGTGGAGACATCAGTTTTTCTGCACGTGTTCTGCAAGGGCACAACAAAATCAACTGTTCCTTATGTGCCCTGTTCACAACACAGCAGAGGTATCACTTGCAGATTTTTTTTCTGCACAGGAATCTGCATAGTGTATAAAACTCATTGAAGCACAACTGAAAACTGATGTCTATGCAAGTGATATGGCATATATCCAATCAATAATTCTCAGATTCACTTCAGCTGTGTCTTTGTTGAGACACAAAGCTGCTGTGAATCTGAGATAATTGATTGGATATACAAGTATATGAAGGGTAAGGGTAGATAAAGAAAAACACTGCGGAACAAACACGTTTTTTTTATTATAAATGTGAATACATTGGACAGGATTTGAAGCAGGGTGTATTGAGCATACTACACTATTTTAGATTTCCTTTTTTGGAGATCAGTGTATGGGAAGATTGGATTCACAGGAAGAAGTTAATGGATGTACAGTCAGGTCCATAAATATTGGGACATGGACACAATTCTAACATTTCTGGCTCTATACACCACCACAATGGATTTGAAATGAAACAAACAAGATGTGCTTTAACTGCAGACTGTCAGCTTTAATTTGAGGGTATTTACATCCAAATCAGGTGAACGGTGTAGGAATTACAACAGTTTGCATATGTGCCTTCCACTTGTTAAGGAACCAAAAGTAATGGGACAGAATAATAATCATAAATCAAACTTCCACTTTTTAATACTTGGTTGCAAATCCTTTGCAGTCAATGACAGCCTAAAGTCTGGAACACATAGACATCACCAGACGCTGGGTTTCATCCCTGGTGATGCTCTGCCAGGCCTCTACTGCAACTGTCTTCAGTTCCTGCTTGTTCTTGGGGCATTTTCCCTTCAGTTTTGTCTTCAGCAAGTGAAATGCATGCTCAATCGGATTCAGGTCAGGTGATGGACTTGGCCATTGCAGAACATTCCACTTCTTTCCCTTAAAAAACCCTTTGGTTGCTTTTGCAGTCTGCTTTGGGTCATTGTCCATCTGCACTGCGAAGCGTCCAATGAGTTGTGAAGCATTTGGCTGAATATGAGCAGATAATATTGCCCGAAACACTTCAGAATTCATCCTGCTGCTTTTGTCAGCAGTCACATCATCAATAAATACAAGAGAAGCAGTTCCATTGGCAGCCATACATGCCCACACCATGACACTACCACCACCCATGCTTCACTGATGAGGTGGTATGCTTAAGATGATGAGCAGTTCCTTTCCTTCTCCATACTCTTCTCTTCCATCACTCTGGTACAAGTTGATCTTGGTCTCATCTGTCCATAGGATGTTGTTCCAGAACTGTGAAGGCTTTTTTACATGTCGTTTGGCAAACTCTAATCTGGCCTTCCTGTTTTTGAGGCTCACCAATGGTTTCCATCTTGTGGTGAACCCTTGTATTCACTCTGGTGAAGTCTTCTCTTGATTGTTGACTTTGACACACATACACCTACCTCCTGGAGAGTGTTCTTGATCTGGCCAACTGTTGTGAAGGATGTTTTCTTCACCAGGGAAAGAATTCTTCGGTCATCCACCACAGTTGTTTTCCGTGGTCTTCCGGGTCTTTTGGTGTTGCTGAGCTCACCGGTGCGTTCCTTCTTTTTAAGAATGTTCCAAACAGTTGTTTTGGCCACGCCTAATGTTTTTGCTATCTCTCTGATAGGTTTGTTTTGTTTTTTCAGCCTAATGATGGCTTGCTTCACTGATAGTGACAGCTCTTTGGATCTCATCTTGAGAGTTGACAGCAACAGATTCCAAATGCAAATATCACACTTGAAATGAACTCTGGACCTTTTATCTGCTCGTTGTAATTGGGATAATGAAGGAATAACACACACCTGGCCATGGAACAGCTGAGAAGCCAATTGTCCCATTACTTTTGGTCCCTTAACAAGTGGGAGGCACATATGCAAACTGTTGTAATTCCTACACCGTTCACCTGATTTGGATGTAAATACCCTCAAATTAAAGCTAACAGTCCGCAGTTAAAGCACATCTTGTTCGTTTCATTTCAAATCCATTGTGGTGGTGTATAGAGCCACAAATGTTAGAATTGTGTCGATGTCCCAATATTTATGGACCTGACTGTATGATCTTCGGTTATACAAATAAAATATTGAACGTATTATATTGAGAGCACTGGTCACTTCTATGATTACCATTTCTGTGACAGAAACAGATTGACTCCAGCTGCTAAGGGAGGGAATATAATTATTATACAGTGTTTATATAGCGCCAAAAGGTTTGCTCAGCGCTGTACATTAAAGTGGGGGGACAGTACATGAGACAATACAATACACGAGGGGCTCGAGGGCCCTGCTCTTTCGAGCTTCCAATCTAGGAGGGAGGGGGTAGAGGTACAGGAGGAAGTGGCTGAGGGGGATGGAGTGGTAGGAGGAGTGGAGAACGGCTGTTAGGTGAGGGTGGGGTAGGCTTGCCTGAAGAGATGGGTTTTCAGGGTGCGCCTGAAGGTGAGGAGGGTAGGTGACAGTCTGATGGAATGGGGTAGGGAGTTCCAGAGAATGGGTGAAGTCCTGGAGAAGTCCTACAGTCGGGCGTGGGAGGAGGAGACCAGGGAGCTAGAGAGTAGGAGGTCTTGTGAGGAGCGAAGGGCACGGGTAGGGTGGTATTTGGGTAGTAGGTCAGTGAGGTAGTTGGGGCAGCGTTATGAATGGCATTGTATGTCAGAGTTAGTAATTTGAATTTAATGCGTTGGGCAATTGGGAGCCAGTGAAGGGATTGGCAGAAGGGGGTGGCAGAAGTGGAGCGGTTGGTGAGGTGGATGAGTCTAGCCGCTGAGTTCAGGATAGACTGGAGCGGGGATAGTGTGTGTTGGGGTAGGCCAGTGAGAAGGGAGTTGCAGTAGTCTAGGCGTGAGATAATAACGGGAGTGTACGAGTTGTTTAGTGGTGTCTGGGGTGAGGAACATACGTATCTTGGAGATGTTGCGGAGGTGGAGCCTGCATGAAATTGATAGTGATTGGACATGAGATTGGAAGGAAAGGTTTGAGTCCAGGGTGACACCTAGGACTTTGGCGTGTGGGGTGGGATTGATGGTGGGCGTAGTTAGTCGTGATGGAGAGGATGGGGGCGCGGGCTGGAGGGAAAACTAGGAGCTCGGTTTTGGAAAGGTTTTACTTGAGGAAATGGAGTGACATCCTGTCTGATATGTCGTTTAGGAGGTGGGTGATGCAGGCGGAGAGTGAGGGGGTGATGTGAGGGGTGGAGAGGTAAATTTGTGTGTCATTGGCATAGAGGTGATAGTTGAAGCCGTGGGAGTGTATCAGTTTGCCAAGGGAGGAGGTGTAGATGGAGAAGAGAAGGGGTCCGAGGTCAGAGCCTTGGGGGACCCCAACAGAGAGGGGGGAGGTGGCAGCGTTATAGGCAACGCTGAAGGAGCGTTGGGATAGGTAAGAGGAGAATCAGGAGAGAGCAGAGTCTCTGATGCCAAGGGAGTGTAGTTTAGTAAGGAGGAGGGGGTGGTCGACTGTGTTGAAGGCTGCGGAGAGTTCGAGGAGTAGGAGGACTGAGTAGTGGCCATTGGCTTTGGCGTTTAGCAGGTCATTAGTGATTTTAAGTAGGGCGGTTTCGGTGGAGTGTAGGGGACGGAAGCCAGACTGTAGTGGATCAAGGAGGTTGTTGTCAGTGAGGTGGGCGCTTGGGCGATTGTAGACTAAGCGCTCAAGGAGCTTGGAAGTGAGTGGCAGCAGGGAGATGGGTCTAAGGTTGTTCAGGTCAGTGGGGTCCAGGGAGGGTTTTTTGAGTATGGGGGTGATGTGCGCGTGCTTTAGGGGGGAGGGGAATGCGCCAGTAGAGAGGGAAGATTGAAGATGTGGGTGAGGGAGCGAATGATGGAGGAGGGGGGTGACCGGAGGAGTTGTGAAGGGATAGGGTCCAGGGGGCAAGAGGTGAGGCGGGCTTCAGTGAAGACCTTAGTGACCTCCTCAGTGGTAGCAGGGCTGAAGGAGCGGAGTGTTGGGGAGGTTATAGTGTGCGGGACGTTAGGTGTGGTGGGGGGCAGTGCAGTTGCGAGGTCAGAGGAGGGGAGAGTTGAGGAGGGGAGAGTTGAGGGGGTGATGGAGGGAGGGAGGCTAGGTGGAGAGGTAGATTGTGAATTGACAATGTCCTTACGGAGTGCGTCAATCTTGTTTTGGAAATGATTGGCAATCTCTCGTGGGTGGTGAGTGAGGTACTGAGTGGAGGGGGGGGAAGAGCAGGGAGTTGAAAGTGGAGAAGAGCTGGCGAGGACAGGTGGAGAGGGTGGTAATGAAGGTTACGAAGTAGGCTTGCTTGGCAGCGTGGAGGGAGGAGATGTAGGTGAGGAAGGCGGATCTGTAGAGGGAGAACGCTCGATGGGATCTGGTTTTGCGCCATAATCGCTCCAGCGCGCGACTGCGTCGTTTGAGACATTTTGTATGGTCATTCTGGCAGGGTTGAAGTGGTCGGGGTCTGATATTACGTGTGGTTAGGGGTGCCAGGGAGTCTAGGGCAGCTGACAGTGAGTCCTTGTACGCAGTAGTGGCCATGTCAGGGCATGACAGGGGAAGGATACTGTCGTACAGATGGTCAGCTGCCGAGTGGAGAGGGGCAAGGTTCAGGTTGCGGAGGTTACGGCTGGCGATGGTTTAACACTTGGGGGGGGGGGGGGGGTTAGAGGAGGGGGAGGGGGAGAATGTGAGGAGGTGGTCAGAGAGAGGGAAGGGGGTGTTAGTGAAGTTGTGGGAGAAAACGAGGTCCAGGGTGTTCCCATCGGTGTGGGTGGAGGACTGTGTGCACTGTGTGAGCGCGAAAGAGGAGGTTAGGAGGAGGAGTTGGGAAGTAGCCGGGTTGTTGACATTGATGGGGATATTGAAGTCCCCAAGGATGATGGTCGGTAGCTCAGAGGAGAGGAAGAAGGGAAGCCAGGCGGCAAAGTCGTCCAGGAAGCGGGATACGGGTCCAGGAGGCCGATAGATTACTGCAATCCTCAGAGGGGTGGGAGAGAAGAGCCGGATGCAGTGGGTCTCGAAGGAGGAAAAGGATAGGGGGGGGGGGGTTAGGGAGGACCTGGAAGGTGCACAGCGGTGACAGGAGCATGCCGACCCCACCACCTCTGCGACCACTCAGTCTGGGTGAGTGGGTCCAGACGAGGCCTCCATAGGTGAGTGCTGCAGGGGAGGTGGAGTCAGTAAAGAAAAAACGCTGTGGTGCACAACTTACGGTTTGCGGCAGAGTGGATTGCACGTTGGCTAGAAATAGGCACTTTTAAATGTGAGTGCATCATTTGGTATTTTAATTTTATAGAATTATAAAATAAATAAAATGTTAAACTATATGGTTTTATGTAATGAGACTTCTATTGTTGCTCTGGCATGCATATTCTCAATGCTGTTAGAGGTGTGGATTGGAGGAGGATCATTGAATGCTGAGAGCAGATCTTTTATTCAAAAGATCTCTAGCACACTGCATCTTGAAAAAGCTCAGTACAGCGGGGTTTTTTTTTTTGCCAGTAAAATGTCGCCTGTGCACATAGGCGCATAAACAAGCACTGCGTATTCCTCAGTAAAAAACAAAAAAACCCAGGAAAATCTCTGCATTTTTGGCCAGTAATTTACACTGCATGAATACGCACATGAGCATAAATGTCAATCAATTTTTGCCTAAGAAAATATACGTGAAAATGCGCAAAATAAATGCCTCAATCAGTACCGTGTGCAAGAGGCCTAAGACCTTTTTTTTTTTTTTCTTTTTTTTTGCACAAAAAGGACCTTCATTTCTGGTGAGGTATTCCAGCTGATTGGGTTTGAGCACTGGTGGCACTTTTTATTTGATGCACATGCAATTAGTGAAGAGGAGCAAAATGGTCACAAATTATCGGTTTTGGGATGAATTTCCCTGTGGAATTTACACCACACTTCTTTGCACTTTATTTACAAAATTGGACACTATTTGATTAGAGTTTCTTTGCACAAAAGTAGTATAATCATTGCTGTGGTTGATTATATATTGTACACTTTTTTATGAAGATAAGACACATATTTTTTAAATTGCAACACTATGAATTTTATTTTTTATTTAGGATATGAGTGATTTTTTTGGCACATTTTATTTTATTATGATTTGTGGTATAATTATTTGAATATGATACCAAATGAGTAGGTCCATGTATATGGTGTTGTGACTATATTTTTTTTTTTTTTTTTTTGGAACAAATCTTTGGTAGCTGCCGTAAATTATGTCAGTGCGAATCTTACGATTGTGGCACAGATGTAATTTGATATAGATTACTTTAGGACTACAGCTAAGATACAATAATTGGCATAGGCAAAAAATACCTTTCTTCCCTGGCCTCTGGGCTGTTCTGGGCAGGAGGCAGTTGGTCTTTCTTCTTTTCCTCTTGATCTTTGTCATCTGAAGGGCCATCTAGAAAAACAAGGGAAATGTAGCTTGGGAATTACAGCGTATACAGATGTAAAGGGCATTATGTATCAGTAAATTATTCTTGGAAAACTAAAGACTGCAGCGTTAAAGCCACAATCTCTCATATTATATTCTACACACGACTTTTAACTAAGAAAGGCATAAGAATCTGGAGCCAGTATTCAATAAAAGGAGCCAGCAAGTTTCTACCAAGGAAAAGGCTGAAAGGACAATTGCAGTGCCTTTTCATTCTATAGGTGAAATTTTCCTTGCAACCTGAGGAAAAAGTAAACTGTATCACTTATCCCTCAGGGAGGTTGAATTCCTATCACCGGATGCAAGGGACATGCAGTTCAGGGCGCCGTGCAGGTAGTTTTTTTTCTACCTTAGCCCTGCTGTGGGCAAGCAGCAGGGCACATATCAGGTGGAAGCAATTGGCAGCAGCACTGCCGCCGATTGCTTCCACACAGTGCCAGACTCTTCGCCCCCTTGTGCAAACCTCCCCACCCTTCCACTATCTCCTGGGCTTCGCTTGCCCATCTGCGGGCCTGGTTCACCGCTGTCAGCTAGAGTGGAGGGAGAAGAGCGGACACGTCCCCTCCCCTCCCTTTCTTGTCCTGACCCGGAAGTGACGTTATGTCACTTCCTGGTCCCTGTTGAGAGATTCACTAAATGTAATGCGGTGCAATGTGCACCGCTTTAGATTCAGTGTAGTACAGAGGAGACATGCAGAGTCTTTTAGGCCTTGGATGTCTCAATAAAGAGAACCTGTCACCTAATATCACATATGGGAAAGATATGTGATGAAAAAAAAAATGTTTAAAAAGTTAAACAGCACAATGTTAAAAATGTTACACATTTAAGTTGCCATAAATCCCCTTTTGTTTTTAAAACAATCCTAAAGTCACCTCTGATTTAAATATGGTTTTGGTTAAAAAAAAATTTTTTTCTTCATCTGGACAAGTAGATTGGCACACCGATTTAGTCTCTGGACAAGCAGTTTTTTTTTCAAAAATTTCCACACCCCTGTCCTTGTTTGTATGGATGTATACTACACCATGGATTACAGCCTCCGGGGGTCCCTTTTCATGCTCCTCTGCTAAGGAGGAAGCTCCTCCCAGACATTACTTGGGTGGATGAGAGAGAAGCCCTTCACTGAGGGAAGAAAACGTGAGGACATAAAATACAGAAGTCTTGTTAACCTCTTCATTTGTTTTAAAAAATTCTTATGGTGCCCCTCTCCAAATATTAAATAAAAAGAGAATTAACAGAATATCACTTTGTAAGCTGACCCCGTGCCTTGAAGATTTTCTATTAAAGAGTCTATACAAACATTTCGAATGGCAGAGCTGGCCTCTCCTTTTCAAAGGTTAGTTGCTTAATTTACTCATATTGTTTTCCAATTTCTGAGTCTCAGTTCTAAACACATATGCAGAACAAGAGTGCTGACTTTACTGACTAAATGCTTGCAGTGGTTCAGTGACAGAACACCGAGGTCAGGAAACAAGCATTTTCCAAAATACATAAAAACAGGCACCATAAAGAAACCAAAGCAGTGCAATTTTAGATCCCTTTTCCAGAAAAATACACTTGCTATTTATTGGGTACCTCTGCTTCTAACAGTCAGGATTACGTGAAAAATAGCCTGTGACTAGACAGTAAAAAGGAGTCATCTATGTCCCCCTCCCTCTGAACTGGAAAGTACCATGTAGTCCCCACCTTCTTACAAATCCTGCTTTGCAGAAAGCTGCAGAAGACTAACATCAAACAGGTTACTTGTTAGTTGTAACAAACTTTTTCACTCTCTCAAATAACTGGATTACATTTATTGTAAATCTATCTTGAGGTTAGCTTTACATCATCTTTTTAGAGTCTTATTCATATAAAAAAGGGGCTTCTAATGATATTTAAATACCAGACTCATGGCCAGTCAACACCACAAAAACGCACTCTGGATGCATTTCTGCATGCCCGATTTAATGCGCTTTTAATGTGTTCCAGTGCAATTTTTCCTCCCCCCCCACCCCCCCCCCCCCCCCCCCCCCCCCCCCCCCCTCTTTTTTCCAAGGTTTCCTGAAGTTTTTTTTATGTGATGCATTCCGGTGTGGTTTTGATGAGTTCATGTGCGTTTTGCCACGTTCTAGTACAGTTCTGTGCAGAAAAAAAATACTGCTTCTACTTTATTTTATGCACTGAAACACACTCGAACTGACTGTACTGGTGTGAACTAGGCCATTAGAACCCATATAGTCTAATGTCCATGCATTTTTGATGCAGAAAAAAAAAAAAAAAAAAAAAACTGGACTGCATCTTCTTTGAACCAACCCGAATGCAAATTTTGACATTTTCAATTGATAGGAGTCATAGGAGGCCTGACTACCTGCAGTGGGTAAGTTTTGAGTATCTAAATTCAATGCATTTTTGCGACTGGATCCTCATGGTAACATGGTGCAATGCCATAGTTTCTGTTGACAAGTGTAGGAAATGCCCGGAAAACAATGAGCCCAATAAGCAAATTCTCTTTTTAAACATACAGTTCTCTTATTCACAAGTGTTTGCTGTTGCAGATTAGAAGGTGAACTCCATTGTTACCTAAAAGTTTTTTCCAGGACTTAATGAGCGATTTGGCTAGAGAGGTCACGTCATCATCGGAGCTTTGTTTACGGATGGCGTTCACCGACATTCCAATTCGTGTGGACTTAAAAACAAAACAAAATGGTTTGGGCACATAAAAGAAACCAATGACACTAAAGAAAACACTTTACCCTACAATTGAGACTATTTTACACACACGCACCCTGGCAATACAAGCTCTGTAATTTCCTCAGCTGACCAGCTTGGCAGGTCACACGTTTAGACATGAGTGGTAAGGGGGCTTAATAGAGTAGTCCAGACAAAGCCTGCACTAATCTTTCACAGAGGAAATAGAAGAGCTTTGTGAATAAAAACAGGAGGACAGATATTTAGAAGAAAGTTTACTCCAGTAACCGTGCATCAGTTACAGTAACAACATATGCTGAACCTGCAATGAATCTTAGAGTGACTATAAATGGAAATCATAACCACACTATTTCAATATTTGTGTAGTACGATTTGTATGAGAAAATCTTCTCCATGTAAACAAATTATGTTGAATGAAGTAGAATTCCAGGTTTACTGTCACAGTAGATTTCCTCTATAAGGAGGTCTAAAACAAACTATGTCCATGCCAGAACAGTCTGGCTGGGCCTGCCGAAATGGACAGTGGTAGCATTAGAATATGCTGCCAGATATAAACTGCATCAGTCTTAGTGCATTGTCACAGGCTGAGGTGTAGAGGCAGCCTCATGATGATATCCACCTTGACCACACTGATACAAACTAATCTGTAATGGAATTTGTTTGGGTCAGCTTGACCCAAACAATGTCAAGTAGTGGATGGATATATATATATATATATATATATATATATATATATATATATATATATATTTTTTTATCTTATGATTTTATTGCCATCACATAGGGGACCCAATAGTCCCCTATATGATAGCACGAGTGACAGGCCATCTTTGTAGGGAGGGGGGGGGCAGTGTGTGCAAGGAGGGGGCAGCAGAGGAGCAGTGCATACAGTGAGAGAGCAATGTATATGAAGAGGCTCCCTCACTGGCTGTCACTATATATCAGTGCCGGTTTTTGAATACAATTGCCTGCTTTTTTTTTCTCTTCACTATAGCTCAGGGAAAGACTAAAGAAACTTTCTTTTAGCTTGGTGAAAGTCAAAAGTCATTCTCTGAACTATAGTGAAGGAAAAAAAAAAAAAAAAAAAAAAAAAAAAAAAGGCGGTAATTACATTTAAAAACCAGCACGGACATATAGTGACAGCCAGTCACTGTATACACTGCTCCTCTCCTGCCTTTCTGCAGCACCCCCAAACACACACACAGTATTGCCTAAATCTTTCCTATCAGCAAAATCCTGATAGGGCTATTTTCGGCCGATATGTTTTGGTGGCTGAAATTTCGGTGCATCTCTAACATAAAGCAATAGGAAACCTGGAATTCTGCTTTAATAGCTCAAGCATCTTGGTGACCTCACCCCAATGTATATATAAATGAATGCATCAGAAGATAAAAACTTAGGAGATGTCATCAATGACCAGTTTTTGTAAAAGCAAGCCCCAGAGCATCACACCCTTATATTACAGGTCTCTACGTTAATGAGCAGAGTGTGCATTCACCCTCACTCATGTAGCAGATGTTACCACCACAGGGAATGATGGTTATATTGGACACAAATTCAGTATATCAATGCACCCAGATCATGTGCTGTTGCCTTCAGTTCTACTTTAAATTGCTGAATGAATACATAAAGCAACTACAGTGGTAAAGAAAAATGGAAGTGAAACATTCAATTCTGGCAGGCAACCAAGTTTCACATTGCATTTGAAATTAAACCCCTAAGCTGGAATTTTTTTTCCCATGCATGTGCATTTGCTGCTATAAGTCCTCGTTCACACAGGGCATACTGTACACCAGTGCAGGGCTTTGTTTTACCCACAGGGGGATGCACAGGCGTCACCATTCATCCCCATGCAAACTGTGCCAATGATGGCAATTAGGATACAAGGCCATGCACAAGGCCACTGTGTCTCAATAGGATATTCGTGAGGGTATTGGGTACCTGCATGGGCGTAAGGTGAGGTAAACTGAGTGAACGATGCCTAAAATAAAGTGATAAAAAAGAAACATGTATTTGATAATCTTCAATTTCCTATAACAATTGAAGATCCTCCTAAAAATTCACAGCTTCTCTCACTATTTATAAGGGGTGCACATTTCATCAAAAAAGGGAAAGGGACATATGCTTACTCTCAAAGCCATGACAGCTGGAGGTTAATACAAGAAAAGAAGAAAGTGCAGCACTCAAGTAAAAACATTAACTCAAATAAAAAAATTAATACATTTATACACACACACGGCATTCAAAAGGCTTGTGGAAAATGTATTAAAAAAAAAAAAAAAACACAGTAAACGGGGACTTACGTGTGGTACCATGTATGAACAGGTAGTATTTAACCACATGCGCTCCAGAGGATTTACCCCCCTTCCTGACCAGGCCATTTTTTTGTGCTAAGGCACTGCATTACTTTGACAATTGCGTGGTCATGCAACGCTGCAACCAAATTAAATTTATGTCATTTTCCCACTAATTGAGCTTTCTTTCGGTAGTATTTGATTGCCTACGTGGTTTTTATTTTTTTTGCTATAAAAAAAAAAAAAAAAAGGCCGACAATTTTGAGAACAAAAAATATTTTTGACTTTGCTATTAAACATGTCCATTTAAAATGTTTTAAAAAAAGAAAAAAAAAAAAAAATCACAGTACGTGTAAATTAATTGGTTTACATGAAAGTTATAACGTCTACAAAATAGTAGTATCTATACACTGGGCTTTTTTTTTTACTAGTAATAGTGGCGATCAGCGACTTATAGCAGGACTGAGATGGGCATTCTGACACTGGGGGGGAACTGACTTGGTGTCAGTGACATCCCCAGTGACACCAATACAGTGATCAGTGCTAATAAAAAGCACTGACAATGTACTAATGGCACTGGACAGGAAGGGGTTAACATGTGGGGCGATAAATGGGTTAACTGTGTACTGTTTTACTAGGGGCTGTGTTAGTGTTTCACTGTAAGCACACTGCTTTGCATGGCTGTGCATGCTGTTTTGTTTACTAACAGTTCTCCCCCCCCCCCCAATCGGAGATGCTTGGCAATCACCGGGTGCAGGCGAGTAATCATCGGCCGGGACCCAGTGATTGACAGCTGAAGCAGTTAATAATCGCTGATTATTATGCAAGTGTTTGAAGAAAATAAACTAGCCAAAAAGCACAGTCATCTTCCACCGCAACAATTGTCCCGTTTATAACTCTCATCAATCAAGGACAATATTGCAGAATTTCAGTGGGAAATCTATAGACGTCCACCTTACAGTCCTGAGTTAATAACTTCTGACTTTATTTCCTAACTTAAACCTACATAAAAAACAAAAAAAAAAAAAAAAAAAAAAAAAAACACACAACACTTTCAATAAATGTTGTATTACATGGTGTTCATACTCAGTCACTCTGAGATTTGTTTTCTGTATTCTGCAAAAAAAAAAAAAGTGTTGATCCTGCTGTTCTCTGGTGCACCCTTCAGTTCATGTCCCCAGTACAGTTGGCGATTTTGCAGAGCAGTGTTGGCAGCTACTGTACATGTACTGCTCAGTTTTCAGTGAGTTTCTATGCTGCGCATTTATTTCATCACTGAGCTACTCAGCTACTAAAGTGTCAGTGATGTAAAACAGCAGCAAAAAATGAAGCTTACCTAAAAACCCTTCTATAAAAACTAAAAGGAGTAAAGTTGTCATACACTGGTGGTGGTATTTGTTCAAACTGCAAAATTCTCCATCCTCGGTAGACAGCACAAACAAACCAATTTCCTGTTGTGCCGACTGTACTTAAGACAGCTGGTGTCACAGGCTCTCAAAATATGCATCAGATCAGATGCAGCTGCTTTTCGGCTGACAATCTTCTTCCCAGCTCCTTCGATTTTTCAATCAAACTGGTGATATACATATGTGTCACACATACGCAGCTGCTGAAAACTGGCAAAAAACAAGACCACACCTGACAGTGTAACGCAAGCGTACGATCTCTTCCACACCATCAGGTTTTATTTACTATACAGTTAAACTGGTCCTAAAGGCATTCCCCTGCATTAAGGTACAAAATGCCTCAGTAGTTGTATTGCCCCCTTCACCGGCCTATATACTTACCTGAGTCCTATTTAGAGCCAGCACTGTGCCAGTCTGCAGCAGCACTGGTCTGTGTTCCTCTCCTCACAGCACACAGGCTCCTGCTGCTTTCAATCAAATCCTGTGATGAGGAAGCAGGGAGTAGGCATTTATGGAGGCACACAGCCCAGCTCAGAAGTCCACAGGTGTGCTCCCACAGCACGTGGCTTGCTATGAAGGCTCACAAAGAAGAGTAGGGGTAAAAAAAAATTTTTTTTTTTTCTAGTTTTGGATAAAGTACAGGAGGAATTAGAACTACTTGCAAGTTTTTATTGCTGCTAGGTATCCTGCTATTGATCTCCAGAACAGATAGAAAAGGACTACCTATCAGTAAAAATCCCAGGTAGACTTACTGGTAGCAGTGTTTCTGGGACTCTTCCATGCCAGAAGGCCTACTTTCAGGTTTGCGGTCCTGGAGGATGATTTGAGAAACAAGTGATAAGAAATCACAAATTTTACAGTTGCCACCAGAACAAGAGGTGAAAATCTCCCAATGGGGACACTTATGATTACAACCCTGTAAAAAGGGGAATTTACCTAATTTCGAAGAGATTACCTTCCACTTACTGTTGAATCTCCAGGACAGGAAGTGAAGGAAATGTCCCCAAAAGGTCACAGCAAAAAAGAAACCAGCAGAGGTTGTTCTCTTTCCTATGCTATCCAAAACTGAACAAAGAGTTTTAGCTTTACATTCACTTTAAAAGTACTCTATATCTAAAACCAAGGGCCCCTTCACACATTTGTGATGCTACTGTACAGAGCACATGTTGACACGAGCTGTGTTGAGACAACGCTGTCAACTTGAATGAACTGCCAACACCCCAAAAACCAAACCTAAGGCAGGCCACAGAGGTCTTTTTGTTTTTTTTTTTTCGATCAGCCAGCAAGATAGATGAAATAATCCTCCCCACTGTCCAACAGTCCAATTTGACAGAAGCTTATCGTTAGATTGTTTTCTGTCAAGCAGGAACAGCTATAGATGGATCAAAATTTGGCTGGACCCCACAGAACCAGCCAGACCTCCCTCTTTTTCCCCTTCAACACAACACTGCACACAATTGTTACTTTTGGATTAATTTTCCATTCATTTGTAATGAATGGCACAGCAATACACTAACATGTGCATGTTGCGGTAGTGCAGCACAAAGCTGGACTTAATTGGATGGAGTAGGGAATGAACGAACCCCATGTAATTTTTTTTTGTCCCAGTGGGGAGATTTTTGTGTCCTTCACTTCTGCTCCGTGAGACACCACAAAAGAAGAGAAAAGGTCCCCAAAGAAGTGAAATGCCCCTATGCACAGCTAGTATCACAGCAGGTGATCCCATCAGATCTCTTCACTATTCCTGTTCCAATGACAGCTGTAAAATGTTGGATGTTCCATCACTTTCAGAAGGTTGCAGAGATATGGCTTTTCCACTACAGCCTATAAAGTTTAGCAATAGCAGCTTGCATATTTACAGTACTAAATTATCTAGGTATAGTTTTTTTTAGCTTCAAACCAGAACAGTGCCACCAAACCTACCTGAAGAAGCTCCAGAGTCATTGGGAGATTTTTAAGTTCCTTTAATAAATCTAAAGCCCCAGCCTGAAAAAAAGAAAAAAAGTTATTTAAAATCTTGCAGCGAAGTCATGCATATCATGTACTGTATAAGAAGCCCAATCTACCAATGCATATCAGTTAAAAAAAAAAAATCCCCATTTATAACATTTTAGTGATTAAAATGTCTAAAGAAAACCTGTAGTTTGCCCATTCAGGAAACTGGAAAGGTATGGATCACCTTTTCGCTCACTGCCCCTTTGTCCCCATTTATCCACCCTGTAATTCTATGTACAAGGAATGTTGTGTGAACGTCTGGAGAATATGTGCCTCTTACAAAACCTACTCTAAGTCTGCATTCACTTGAGCAGAGTGTATTCCTGGTGATTTTTACCTTTTTTACAGACAATTTAGGTATTTTTGCACATGTATCAAGCTTTAAGCATTTGTTTTCCATGCTGGGCAAAGAAAGGAGGGCTCTAGAGGAGAAAAGGGGAGTTATTCAGGTGCAAAAAGGAACATCTCATTTACAGGTGCTCCCACTGAGGTCTACAAAACCAAAAAACACCTAAATACACTCATGTAAGCTCAGTTGCCCTACACACCAAAAAGTACAAAGTGTGAACAAGAACACTTATAAGAATGGGATTCTGCATGGTAAGTGCAGTCAGGCATAGGGAAGCCACCTGAGAAAAGGTCAAATGTGGGTGGGGGCTAAAGCAAATCTGTTACTTTATCTGCTGCTATGGTCATCAACAGGCCCTTTAATGTACATGGACTAAACAAAAAATATGCACTAAATCAGCCATAACTTTATGCCCACCCACCTAATAATCAATAGGTTCCCCTTCTGCCACCAAAAACAGCCCTAATCTGTCAAGGCATGGACTCCACTAGACCTCTGAATGTATGCTGTGGTATCTGTCATCAAGCTGTCAGTATATCCTTTAAGTCCAGTAAGCTTCACAGTGAAGCCTTATGGGTTTGACTAGTTTTTTTCCCAGCATATCCCACAGCTGCTTGATTGGATTGAGATCTGGAGACTTTGGAGGCCAAGTCAACACCTCAAACATGCTGTTGTGTTCCCAAAACCATTTTTCCAATGTGGCAGGGCAAATTATCCTACTGAAAGAGGCCACCGACATCAGGGAACACAGTTTCCATGAAGGGGTGTACTTTGGCAGTAGCAGTGTTGAGGTAGGTGGTATGTGTCAAAGCAACAACCGCATGAACAGCAGGACCAAGGCTTCTAAGTAGAGTATTGCAGACAACATCACACTACCTCTGCAGACTTGCCTTCTTCCTATGCTGCATCTTGTGCCATCTCTTCCCCAGGTAAGTGACAAACATGCACCCTGCCATCCACACGGTGAAAAATAAAATGTGATACATCAGAACAGGCCACCTTCTTCCATTGCACTTTGGTCCAGTTCTGATGCTCACATGCCCATTGTATTTGTTTTTAGCTGTGGACACGAGTAAGCATGGGCAAAATGACTGGTTGTCTGCAATGCAGTCCCATACACAACAAACTGATGCCCATTTTTTGTGTTTTCAAACACATCAACTTCATGGACGTGTTTATTTGCTGCCTAATACAGTACCTTGAAAAATAATCCATATTCATATATTACAAATAAATATGTGAAAAGTGTGGCGTACATTTGTATTCAGCCCCCTTAGTCAATACTTTGTAGAACCACCTTTCGCTGCAAGTCTTTATGGATATGTTTCTACCAGCTTTGCACATCTAGGAGAGAAATGTTTGCCCATTCTTCTGTCAAATTGGATAGAGAGCGTGCATCTATGAACAGTAATTCTCAAGTCTTGCCACAGATTACAATTGGATAAAGTTCTGGACTTTGACTGGACCATTCTTTGATCTAAACTGTTCCATAGTAGCTCTGGCTGTATGTTTAGGGTCGTTGTCCTGCTGGAAGGTGAACCTACTGCCCCAGTTTCAAGTCTTTTGCAGACTCTAATAGGTTTTCCTCTAAGATTGCCCTGTATTTGGCCCCATCCATCTTCCCATCAACTCTAACCAGATTCCCTGTTGAAGAAAAGCATCCCCACAAAATGATGCTGCCACCACCATGTTTCACGGTGGAGATGGTGTGTTCAGGGTGATGTGCAGTGTTTGCTTTCCACCACACATAGCATTTTGCTTTTAGGCCAGAAAGTTCAATTTTGGTCTCATCTGACCAGAGCACCTTCTTCCCTACATTGCTTCTGGCAAACTGCAAATAGGATGTCTTATGGCTGTCTTTCAACAATGGCTTTCTTCTTGCCACTCTTCCATAAAGGCCAGATTTGTGGAGTGCATGACTAATAGTTGTCCTGTGGACAGATTCTCCCACCTGAGCTGTGGATCCCTGCAGCTCCTCCAGAGCTACCATGGGCCTATTGGCTGCTACTCGGATTAATGCTCTCCTTGCCCGGCCTGTCAGTTTAGGTGGACGGCCATGTCTTGGTAGGTTTGCAGTTGTGCCATACTCTCCATTTTTGAATGATGGATTGAACAGTGCTCCGTGAGATGTTCAAAGCTTGAAATTTTCTTTATAACCCAACCCTGCTTTAAAACAAATACATAATAACAGTGTCACACTTCTCTTCCCCCACAGTGAAATGTAACTTCAAATGTTCTTCCTAATAGCACTAAATTGGTGAAAACTACTATAAATAATAAGCCAACATCTGTTGAAATAATACAGTCAGTCCTTGTTCATAATTCTTCCATAAAAAACTTTTTCCTTCAATAATCCTTATTTTCTTTTTTCATAAACAGTGCACCTCCACCATCAATACCACCAGCTGTGCCATCACCTGAAATTTTTGACCACTCAACAAACTAAGTTTGGTCAAAAAAAAAGCTTGCGTCCTCTAGGTGGCCATAAAGTGATGGTATAACATCCATACCGAAATCCTCCTCCTGTGTTGATTCAACTCTTCCTGGTACCTACTCCACTCAGCATACATGTAGAAAATACATAGGCAAACCAATAGTGCTTTATCGTTTAAAAAACCTTCATTTATTAAAATACAAATAAGCAACTGACATGATCCAGGTGCGCCATTGTACCTAACGATATTCGCATGAATTGTATACAGATGACAATGTGTATATTAATGGGAAGCTCCCATTGTATTCCCGTCCGTGATCTCTCTCTGGAGTAGGTCAGCTGACTGCAAGCGTTCTGACATCACCAAGCCCCTCCCTTACGCATTACACCACAGGGTCCCAGTGGCTTCCTCAGGGGGATCTGAGGAAGCCACATGATTTTGGACCTCTCTTCTTGCGCCAACTGTTCCATTTCTTTCTGATTGGAAGGGTTCCTTTTCCCAACTGCTGTTTTGAGATGTCTCCACAGGTATTCTGGGCTCATTGCTGGCCAGTTCAGTACTCTCCAGCTCTTTGTCTGAAACAATTTCTGGGTGCTTTTTGACATGTGCTTTGAGTCATTGTCCTGCTGTAAGACCTCTGACAGAGACCCAGCTTTCTGACACTGGGCCCTACATTCCACCGCAGAATTCTTTGGTAGTCTTCAGATTTCATAATGTCATGCACATGGTCAAGACATCCAGTGCTTGCAGCAGCAAAGCAACCCCAAAACATCAGTTAATCTTCACCATGTATGACTGCATTCTTTTCTTTAAAGACCTCACTGTCTCTGAAAACAGTAGAATGATGGGCTTTACCAAAGAGCTGTAATTTTGTTTCATCTGCCCAAATCACATTCTCCCAAAAAGGATTTAGGCTGCCTCAGGTAAATTTTGGCCAACTCCAATTTGGCTTTGTATGTTTTTGTGTCAGCAGTGGAGTCTATCCCTTTTTATTCAGATGGCGACGTATAGTGTGAGCTGACACAGTTGTACCCTGTGCCTAAAGGTCAGCTTGAATTTGTCTGGAGGTTGATCGAGGTTCCTTAGCCACTAAACAATCTTTTGTTGCAATCTTTGATCAATTTTTCTCTTTTGTCCACATCCAGAGAGATTAGCAATAGTACAATGGGATGTAAACTTCTTGACAATATTGCACACAGTGGACACAGGAACATTAAGATTTCTGAAGACTGACTTGTAACCTTGAGATTGTCCATGCTTTTTCACATTTTTTGTTCTCAAATCCCCAGACAATTCTTTGCTGCTCTCTCTTCTCCATGCGGGCACACAGGCACAAACAGAAAGGTTGAGTCAATTTTTCAACATTTTAACCAGTTGCTGGTGTGATTTCTATATTGTCAGCATCTGTCAATTCACAGGTGTCAAACTGGCAGCCTCCCAGCTCTTGCCAAACTACAAGTCCCATGAGGCATTGCAAGATTGACAGTTGCAAGCATGACTCCCAAGACAGAGGCATGATGGGACTTGTAGTTTTGCAACAGCTGGAGGGCCGCCAGTTGGACACCCCTGAGTTAATTGATGGTGAGTTTTATTACAAATTACAGGAGCATCACAAACTTAGAATGCAATAATCTCTTACGAATTTGAGAAGGTGCCAATAAATTTGTCCAGTACATTTTTGGGGTTTTGCATGGAATGTGACAGATTAGGCTTTTTGTTTCTCCACTTTTTTTTGTGTCATACCAATACAAACAAAAGAAACATGAGAATGTCTAAATATTTGTAATTGCATCAATTTTCTGGGCACAGTGGGGTATTATCTGACAAATACGACTAAACTGTAGACATATATAGCACAGATATAAATAGGCCCATATACTCACCCTCGCGGCACTCCCCTGCTGCACCACTGGAACTGAAGTTGTGTAAGCTCTGTGTTGGATGGTTTCAGAGCTTACAAAACTGTCCTCACTATTCATTGCATCTTGGAAGAAGGGACAAATACTGTAGCTGCTGACCTTTTAATAAAAGGATACCTACCTGTGCCATTCTCACCTGGGCCGGTCTTTGGGTTCCCAGCATATTTAGTGTGGGAAGCTGGCAGCGACTCCTTGTGGCTTCACACTACATCGTGTGAATGTCCCGGCTGCCACATGAAACCTGTGACATGACCCAAGTGGTTACAGGCAGCAAGTATGCCTGAACTTCCAGTGGAATAGACTAGCCTATCCAATGAAAATGAGAGCAGACACCTAGTTTTGGTAGGTATCCCCCCCCCCCCCCCTCCCAAAACATTCCCAAATGTGTGAGAGGAGGGGGGAGGAGTACCTAAAGCAGAACGTCCCTAGGGTGAAGTTCCACTCTAAGGCAAGATGTAGCTACTTTTGTTTGCAACTACTTTTTCTAGAAGGGTGACAACAGTGTATACAATCAAAGATAAATTAATTGTTGACAACACAAACACAAGTGAGACTTGTTCACAATGAAGGACTTGTCCACACCATGTGTAGTGACCAATGTTAGGGCTTGTTTACAATCATGTTGTCCTCTGAAGAGCGATCTTCAGAGGGTGTTTGACAGAAAGGGAGCAGGCATTTTGCTGCCTCACCACCGCCTGTTTTAACCCCTAAAAATTCACACCACCACACTGCAACTGTGTGTATTGCACACTGCAGAACTGCCTGAAAGTGCGACAGTGGGGATATATTTTTGCTGTGATGTAACGCATCTCCTCAGTCAAACACAAAGCCCTGTGATCCAATCCAATGAAAGACCACATCTCCTATAAACACTATGCTCTAAATCTTACATCCCACAATTGCTTGCAATTTTAAACTGCATCGCCGCAAACTTGCACTTGTCCCTTTTGTCGCACGCATAAAAAATACACTGCGTTCCAATCACACCTACAGTGAATATAAAAAGTCTACACACCTCTGTTAAAATGTCAGGTTTCTGTGATGTAAAAAAATGAGACAAAGATAAATCATTACAGAACGTTCTCCACCTTTAATGTCACCTATAAACTGTACAACTCAATTGAAAAAAAAACCCTGAAATCTTTAAGGGGCGGAAGTAAACAAAAAATTTAAATAATATGGTTGCATAAGTGTGCACACCCTCTTATAACTGGGGATGTAGCGGTGTTTAGAATTAAGCAATCACATTCAAATTCATGTTAAATAGGAGTCAGTACACGCCTGCTATCATTTAAAGTGCCTCTGCCTAACCCCACATAAAGTTCAGCTGTTCTAGCAGGTCTTGCCTGACATTTTCTTAGTCGCATCCTACAGCAAAAGCCATAGTATGCAGAGACCTTCCAAAGCATCAGACGGCTCTCACTGTTAAAATGTATCAGTCAGAAGGGTACAAAAGAATTTCCAAGGCAATAGATATACCATGGAACTCAGTGAAGACAGTCATCATCAAGTGGAGAAAATATGGCACAACAGTGACATTACCAAGAACTGGACGTCCCTCCAAAATTGATAAAAAGACGAGAAGAAAACTGGTCTGGGAGGCTGCAAAGAGGACTACAGCAACATTAAAGGATCTGCAGGAATATCTGGCAAGTACTGGCTGTGTGGTACATGTGACAACAATCTCCCGTATTCTTCATATGTCTGGGCTATGGGGTAGAGTGGCAAGACCGAAGCCTTTTCTTATGAAGAAAAAAATCCAAGCCTGGCTGAAGTTTGCAAAAACACATATGAAGTCTCACAAAAAGCATGTGGGAAAATGTGTTCTGGTTGATGAAACCAAGGTTGAACTTTTTGGCCATAACTCCAAAAGATATGTTTAGCGCAAAAACAACACTGCATATCACCGAAAGACCACCATACCCACAGTGAAGCATGGTGGTGGCAGCATCATGCTTTGGGGCTGTTTTTTTTTCAGCTGGAACTGGGGCCTTAGTAAAGGTAGAGGGAATTATGAACAGTTCCAAATACCAATCAATATTGGTACAAAACCTTCAGGCTTCTGCTAGAAAGCTGAACATGAAGAGGAACTTCATCTTTCAGCATGATGATGTCCCAAAGCATACATCCAAATCAAGGAATGGCTTCACCAGACGAGGATGAAAGTTTTGGAATGATCGAGCCAGAGCCCAGACCTGAATCTGATCGAAAATCTGTGGGGTGAAATGAAGAGGGCTGTGCACAGGAGATGCCCTTGCAATCTGACAGATATGGAGTGTTTTTGCAAGGAGGAGTGGGCAAATATTGCCAAGTCAAGATGTGCCATGCTGATAGACTCATACCCAAAAAGACTGAGTGCTGGAATCAAATAAAAAGGTGATTCAACAAAGTAGAAGTATAAGGGTGTGCACACTTATGCAACCATATTATTTTAATTTTTTATTTGTACTTCCCTCCACCTAAAAGATTTCATTTTGTTGTTCAACTGAGTTGTACAGTTTATAGGTTACATTAAAGGTGGAAAAAGTTCTGAAATGATCTTTGTCTAATTTTTTTACACCACAGAAACCTAACATTTTAACAGGAGTGTGTAGACTTTTTATATCGACTGTATGTAAACTGTCACCATAGAAACTCATCTTCACTGTTGTGCGAACTTGTGTGCACAGAAAAGCAATGCAAATAGCATATATGTGAACTGGGGCTAAAATAAAAAAAGGCAAAACATTTGCGTACAGATATATATAAAAAAACAAAACAAACATATTCCCTTTTTTTTGTTTGTCTGAATAAGGAGCTCAGAGAGCTGGGGGAAGAGAAACAGCATTAAACTGATCTTCCCAGTGAATGGCTGTGCAAGTAAAGGTTTGGGGGGGGGGTGTCAGGACAAATCTGATCATTGGAGGAGAGCAGGCTGAGTTTGCAGCATAGCTACAGCACTGACCACACTGTGCTCTCATGCCTAGAGTGGTCAGTTTGTAATAAGAAAGCAGAGAAACTGGCAGGATCACCAGGGATTTCACACAAAGGAAGCAATACAAAGCAAACAGGATACTTCTTCATACTAGAACATGGTACAGCAGGCACATCTCAGGAATATGCAATGCTTGCTTGGCATATAAAGCATCCGTATAGAGTGGGGGGACAAGCAGGACACCCAGGGACAGGTGGAAAGAACAGCACAGCCGTTTAGAGAAAACATTCCCTTTATAAAGCACAGCCCCACTTCCAATGCTTCCCCTGGTCATTGGGTGTCCTTGCTGTCTCCAGTCCATGGTGAGCTCCTTTATGTGCCTGCTGTCCCCTCACTGGCTCCCTCTACTGGCAGGTACAGGGGAGCTCTGTCAGGCAGGGACTCCCACATACATAAGGAGATAGGAGCCCAGACATCACTGTACCTTCTACAATGACAGACCTGGGCACACCCAGGAAACCCCCTCTATAAATTAGCATCAGTGTACTGCGCCCCATACAACCATTCACTATTGGTCTGTAAGTGGCACAAAGACACCTTCTGATTGGCTGCTCGGACCCCCCCAGCAAACACCATTGCACATTTCCACGGGGGTAGGGGAGAGAATACAAGGTGTGTGCCAGGACAGCGGCCTTTGCCACCTCAACACCCCCGCTCCACAACGAGCTCACCGTGTTCTTCTTCTGAACCATCCGCTCCATCTTCTTAGCGATACGGATAATCTCCTCCCCGCCGGATCCGCTCATCTCTACTCTACGGCTGTCCGAACACAATGACACGAAGGAGCAGAGACGACAACAACACTGGAGGGAAAGGCGAATTCCCGCTTGGCGCGTCCTCCTCACAGCCCGGCCGGAAGTTTAGCACGACAGCCCCAAACGGCGAGGTCGCAACTATGTTATCGTTCTAGAAAACGATCGGCCTCTTCCGGGGAGGCTTTGTACGGCTCGCCCTGCCCATAATAACCGGCTCTTAGCCAGGTATGGAGAGTGCCTGCGCCACGTGGTGGTTAGATGTGGGAAGTGCACGTTCCGTGTTGGATGAACAGTGCTGCCTACACACCTGTACACTCACTATACTGTTTACACTTCAGCTATGATACCTTTGTCATCACATTGAAGACACTTCGCTCCTGCAAGGAAAAAACTGCATTTTTGTTTTTTTTTTGCTAGAAAATTACTTAGAACCCTTAAATATTTTCTATATATATATAATGTTTAGGGGTTCTAAGTAATATTTATTTAAGCAGAGGCCCTAGAGAATAAAACGGTAGGTGTTGCAATTTTTGTATGCTGTCACCTTTGCTTGAGCTCTGGACCAAACTATCAAACCATCAACCATGGCTGGTGTCAGAACTGATCACGTGCAGCACCACGGCAGTTGCAGATCAAACAATGGCAAGATGGTATCTTCCTTGGCTAAAAAGGACGGGGGGGGGGGGGGGGGGGGGGGGGTTAGTTCCGCTATATCTGTTTGTTTTTAGAGCTACCTTCTCCCACATCCCCCAGCCACTTGTATGCATGAAGCCTAATACCTTGTTTGTTTTGTACCAGTACAAACATGTTTTTTTCTTGGCAATATTGTCTTGCATTTTTTTCTATGTACACAAAAAAAAAAGTTTAACAAAACAAAAAATTCTGCACCTCTTTCCATCTTGACTAATGACAGTGAAAAACAATTGTCCTGAATTTTCATTAAAAATTAGTAAACTTTATCTCTCTCACAGCAGGTAAATACTAGACATAGCTTGTAAGCTATCAACTGTACACTTCGCAGAGGGTGATGGGCGCTATGGTCCACAAAACACTTGGGTCTCATTCACATGATGCAATTAGCACACTGCAAAATCACGCAGCAAAAATCATCTGACCATAACCGCAGGTAATCACTGGCTGTGCACACAGTCACGGATTGCTGCAGCCAACCTCAGCCTGTCATTACATTGTTTAGGCTGAGTAGCTGCAGCTCTTTGCTCACACCTGCCCTTCCAGCCACAAGAATCTGCAGATTGTTGCAGCTGGAAGATTGCAGTGTGTGCTAATGGCACAGCGTGAATGAAGCCTTCGGGTATGTTCACACTATAGGCACTATATAAACCTGTGTTTTTTTCTGCACAAGAGCAATGCAAGTCACTACTAGGCCACATGGAAAGCTATTGTTTTCTATGTGTCCCCTTACCCCACAATGCTGGTGTGATGTGCAGTGCCTACATACTGAATTTATCCACAGTAACTTTGTCACAGCACCCCATAAACCCCCCCCTTTTTTTTTTTTCTTCCTTATCCATACCCTATTCTCAGTAATCTTTCTCCCTTTTCTCTTTCTGATCCCCACTACCCAGTTCCTTCTGTGTTGACTTCCTTTCTTCTACTTTCCTCCCATCTCCCACAGGGAATAAAGACCCTCAACATTGCCCCATCACCCTCATAACACCATGCTTGTAAACACATCTCCGAAACCCTAGAAGGACATTTACTACACTGTGTACTATGTAATGTTGCTTGGTGATTTAACCAATTGGTCCTTCACATTCATTATACAGGTATTTGCCACACCCCCTTCCCCATTTCTATATCCCGTACCTAATACTGGGGTTAAACAAAAAAATGGAAACACTGCATGACTTGCAGGTGTGAAAGTGAGAACATATTTTGCGTTGAAAGCGGAGGTGATGTAACATTCTTTTGCTCCCGCTATGTGATGAGACACCTAGCTAACAGGTGGCAAGCCTCACTTTGGTCATTCACTGCATGTACTGCTAGTAATATGGAGTCATGTCAGAGCTCACTGAGCTTCAAAGAGGGCAAATTGTTGGTGTCTGCATATCTGGTGCCTCTGACTAAAGTTACAGATTTATTTCCTGTGTCACGAGGTACCATATCAAAGGTTATGACGGCATATACAGATTTTGTGAAAATGTAATCTGGTAAGCTTGACTGCGGTTGGTGTTGTTAATTGACCAAAAGAGAGAGAAGGGGACATTGCACAGGATTGTGGCCCGAAATAAGCAAACAATTGCTGCAAAAGGGTCTGCAGAGTTCAATCTCAGTCCCGTGAAGACTGAGATTGAGCTCTGCAGTCACTTTTGCAGCAGTTATTTTCTTAATCAGGGTCACAATCCTATGCAATGTCCTTTTGCCTCTTATAGTTAGTTGACCATGTCGACCGCGCTTATGCTTATCAGATGACGTTTTCCCGGAAACTGTCATAACCTTTGATGCTGTACATCACAATATGGCAAATAAATTGGCAACTTCAATCACAGAGACACCAGCTAAGCAGGCACCAACAATTTGCCCTCTTTGAAGATCAGTAAGCTCTGACATGATTCCTTATTACTAGAAGCAGATGCAGTGAATGACGAAAGTGAGGCTTCCCACCTGTTAGCTAGTTGTCTCATCACTTTCGATTTGAATGCGAAACATGTCATCACTTTCACATCTAGAAATCATGTAGGGTTTCCATTCTTTTGTCCAACCCCTGTACATGCTCTGATGTACCCATTGTGATGTCTACTCTATTTACTGTAAACCTCAGTGGAAACATTTAATAAAATTATTGTAAAGAAAAGGCTTTTCCTAATCGTACAGTATGGGACGCAGGCAGTGGAATTCAGAATGCCATACCTCTGTGCCACAATTGTTGGTGCTTGCAACAGATTATTGTACACAGATGCGCAAATTTTGTCGCAGGAGGGGGTGTCACTGGGCTCAGCATTGCTGGGGTCCGTCCCCGGCCTCTACATCTCACAGACAGGTGTACTGGGTAAGGTGATTTTAGAATTAGAATTTTGCAGCTGTGCAGGCGAATATCTATAAATAAATCAACTACAAGGCCACAGTGCCAGAAGGACTTGTTCTACATGGAACACAAGTGCAGTGGTCACTGCATACTTAGTCCATTAACACTTCCTCAAGTTCAGTAACAGAAGGTCCTTACCTTGGTACAGACAAAGAGCTGGAGGAAGAGTCTGCAGAACTCAGAGTATTGCTCCCTCAATCAACTGTTCACAATTGCAATGCTTTGCAGGCTCATGACAAAAAATAATAAATGCACACTTTTTTGCTACAAATACTGTATGGGCACTTTTGTTTTCTGTGCAATCACTACAGGTTCTTCACAGATTAGAGGGTATCTGTGAGCAAATTCCCTGATGAATCTGAGTAAAATGGGGCGACTATCAATGGCAGCCTGATGTAAATGGACCTGTGTAATCTGTGATTAGACCAGGCTACCTTCCATTTGTCATGTTTAAGTCCAGATAAACAGAAAATGATGCAGTCTTTTTTGGTTTTGTTTTTTCTGGACTTGGGCAGACTCAAGTCTGTTTACATTTGCCTGCGCATAGACTTGGGTGGAACGTCTGGTCAGGTCTACCTAAAAATTGGCAGGCAGACCTCATCAGAAAGCCTACATGAAAGTGGCTTAAAACTGCCTATATGCAGATACCTTCAGGTGATTGAACACTAGCAAAAAAAAAAAAAAAAGAAAAGCTGCTGCGACATCCCTTATATATCTCCTCCCACTTCCAAATAACTTCCATTTTTTGCTAGTATCCTTAGGTGATGGACCCATTCTCCCTACTAAGAGAAAGTAAGTTACCATCTTCTGTGGAGGTTTCTCTTTCTCTATGTCTCTGGATAATTCTATTCCAATACAGTGCCTGAGGAGGATCCCTGACCTTCTGAGACATCGGATCAGGATGACCTTTACAGAGATTTCAAGCTAAAAGGATACCATAGCTACCCATATTGACACTGTACATTCCTGCTTAGATTTGGAGCAGCCCGAGTCTGTTCATTCTAAAGAAGGGGTAGGCAACCTTTGAGAAGTGGAGATCTACCGAAACATCATGGAAGAAATCAAAGATCACCAGGAAGTGGTAACTAGAAGACCCCAATAAAAAGTAAGGATGGCATGGAAAAAACTGCAAAATCTAATAAAAGAATTGTCACTGTAAAAATATAAACTTATCCTACCTTAAAAGTCAGCTTCAGTGAGAAACTTGGCATTCACTTTCATTCACAATTTGTTCATGTCTGGAGAGTAATTAGTCATGTCATTAGTATGTACGGCAGTGTACAGGGGTCATTAGTAACTGGAGCAGTGTACAGGGGTCATGGGTGGACTGATCATTTGGGAACTCGGGCACTGCCCGAGGGCCCAGGGTCAGTAGGGGGCCCCATGAGATGCCCCTGGTACCTTTCATAGGCTTTTTTGGGTGTGGTTTGAGTGTGGGTGAGGACACGGGCCCCATGATCCCTTATTGCCCGGGGGCCCCATGAGTTGTCAGTTCACCCGACAGGGGCCATTAGTATGTACAGCAGTGTACAGGGGTCATTAGTATGTAGATTAGTGTACAGAGGTCATTAGTATGTAGGGCAGCATACAGGGGTCATTAGTATGTAGGGTAGTGTACAGAGGTTGTATGTACGGCAGTGTTCAAGGGTCATAAGTATGCAGAGCAGTGTACAGGGGGTCACAGTATATAGGGGGTTAGCAATTTGTAGGGCAGATTATAGGGGTTAGCATAGACAGCTCCAGAAGGAGAAAGCACCACTCTGTTGTCCGTGGCACAACTGTTGTGAGGGGACAAGCAGGAAGAAAGAGATTGGTGTGAACGTGAACTAGCTCCCTCAGTTCTGACCAGTGTATCTAGCAGTGTGTTTCAAATGGCAGCTTCACTAAAACAGTGCACACCTGCCAGAGCACAGCAAAAACACAACAAGGCAGGGAATCAGCTCAG